ACACATGGCTCCAGGTTATTTTTTCCCCTTACTGCAGTTTGATTAAATGCTTTCAACTCTTATTCTCATCCCCAGTCCTTGGAATGCTGTCTGTGCTTTACGAGTGCTTCTCTATAAATTGTTGAGACCCAAGTTCTTCAGAACATCTGGATCTTTGACTTCGTTAAAGCATTGGAATAAAAAAGTAAACCTGAAACAAAAACAAGATGTATTTGAAAGACCAGGTGATAATGAGAGACAGAGATAAATTTTCTGTTGGCTGGTTCGCTGCCCAGATGGCTGCAACAGCTAGGGCTGGGCCAGGCTGGAGTCAGGAACTTGTCTGGATCCCCCACAAAAATGTAGGTGGCAAGAACTCAAGCAGCTGAGCCATCATCCTCTGCCTCTTCGGCACATTAGTAGGAAGGTGAATTGAAGTGCAGAAGAGCAGGACTCAGACCAGGTACCCTGATGTGGGTGTGGGCATCCCAAAGCAGCACCTTAACCTCTTGTGCCACAATACTCCGCTCCCCCACCCACACCATTTCCGTCTAACTTTTGTGAATGAGGGAGGTTTCGTTTCGTTTTTAAGGTGGAGTAGAGAGAACTGAAAGTTAGGACCCTGATTTGTTTTACAAAACTTTGATCTCACTAAATATAACTCACAAAACTTTGATCTCACCAACTGTGTAATAAGGTTCTTTGGCCAGGTTGATACTAATCTGATTTGTTTTCGCTCATGCTTCCTCCCAAAACACTCAAACCACACCACATTTTTATTTCTATTTTGGGGGTATTGTTTTTGTTTACTTTTGCTTTTTTTTTTTTTTTGGTTAAGATTTATTTATTTATTTGAAAAGCAGAGAGAGAGAGCGTGAATGAATGTCTTCCATCCACTGGTTAACTCCCCAAATGGCTGCATTGGCCAGGACTGGTCCAGATGGAAACCAGGAGCCTGGAACTTCCTTGAAGTCTCTCCTATGGTTGGCAGGGCATAAGTATTTGGGCCATCCTCTGCTGCATTCCCAAGTGTATCAGCCTGGAGCTGGGTTGGGAGTAGAGTAGCTGGGGCTCTACTCAGTGCTTCCATCTGCAATGCTGTCTTTGCAAGCAATGGCTGTGCACCACAGAGCTTGCCCTTGGGGGAATTATTTTTAAGTTGGTGACATTGCTATTTAGAGTTTTATTTTCTTTGGGATTAAATTACTCCTCTGATTCAGTGTTTTTCTAAGTAGAAGTCTTAATGTAGGATTAATAATAAAGTTTATTTGAAGCTTTTATATTACATATTCTGTGTGGTCACAAAGGATGCTGGACTCAAAACCTAAAAGAGAAAGGTCACGGTAATACCACTGAACAGAACGTTAGTCAAGGATCTTAGTCACCTTTTAATCAAATATTTAGATTTATCAACTGACCCTTTACCAGTTTTACATATTGTGTGTGTGTGCATTTATTTAGTTAATATAAATCACAGACTGAAGGCTGTAAGTGTACATAGAGAAAACAAAGCCTGGAAAGTGATACGACTTGCTGAATTCTGTAGGTAGTTCTTTTACTCTGGTCAAGGGTATGACTTGCTGAATTCTGTAGGTAGTTCTTTTAGATATGAGTTGCTGAATTCTGTAGGTAGTTATTTTACTCTGGTCAAGGGTATCTGTGCCGGTCCAATGCTCTTTGCAGAAATACTTAATTGATTTTGTTGTTGTTTGTGTTACTGATTGAACCCCTTAGAATAGATAGAATGAGTGAAGCAATTTATTAAATCTAATCATCTCAGCCCACTTATTTGGGATATTGCCTGCTTTTTTTAAAGAACTGGTGTTAAGTGACGGGCAAGGGGAGGTTCTCGGTACATGTTCTCTTTCAAGAAGAAATAAAGAGTAACTGTGCCTCAGTGGCTCCTCTTCAAGCACCTGTTCCCAGTGCTCTGACTCTGGAAGAGGAGTCAGTGTATCAATCTGTATCATGCGCCTTCAGTGTTCAGGGCGATACTTAGCTACCAGAGATGTGACTGAATAAAACAGAGTCCAATAGTTGGAAAAAAACGAAGCCTAGAGATTTTTTATTTTATAACAGCTACAAGATGTGAAAAGTTTGGTGCTACTGAAATGTGTATTCAAAGAACCAGACCTAGTCTGAGGAAATAGTGGAGACTACTTTAGATGAACCCCAAAGAGTACGGGGAGTTGTCATGTGAATGTGGGGAAGGGAAGTTTTTGGAGGGAGGGCAAGCAGACTTGGGAGAAGGAGTGGTTTGTCCAGAAGCACAGAAATCAGAAGGGGCATGTTTAAAGAGCGAACAAAGAGGAATGCCTCTGGGTACACAGAACAGAGACGGGAAGAGGAGGAAATAAACAGTGAAGAAATAAGAAGGGCATGGATAAGCAAGATCTGGAGAATGCTTAGCTCTAAGAATAATGGGGAATTGTTGAGAGGTTTTGAAAGGTCTTTTTGTACTATCATTTTGTATATATATTTTTATTTTTATTTATTTGAGAAGGGGAGAGGGGATGGAAATTTTTCCATTCCCTGGGTTTATTTCCCAAAGGCCACAATAGTCAGGGCTGGGTCATGCTGAAGCCAGGAGCCTGATTCTCCATCTGTGTCTCCCGTGTGGGTTCAGGGACCCAACTACTTGAGCCATTGCTGCTGTGTTAGCAGGAAGCTGGAATAGGAAACATAGCTGGGACACAGACCAAGACACTCCAGTAGTAGGACATAGGAATCTCAAGCAGCATCTTTTTAAAAAAGATAATTCTAACTGCTCTGTGGAACATGGAATAGAAGGGAGACATAGAAGTACGATGGTGACTTTATAGATAGAGAGGCTGATATGTAAAAGTTATGTTCAGAAAAGTATACTTTATTATTTTGCTTTGTTTCTGTGTTTTAATGAAAACCTGACTGCTCTTTTGCGTTCCTGGTTAATCATCTTTCTTGAAACTATGCTATCACGATATGTGTTTCAGGGACCTGCTGAAACACACGTTAGGACTGATTATGTGACTTGTTATTTTGATCCTGTGTGAAATATGCTGTCTTATTTTTAAATTCAAGAAATAATAGCTTATAACTACTAATGAAATGAAAGTGTAACAGCACCCACTGTGCAATAACTCAGATGGTGTCACTAAAATAGGAATCAGGAGGGAATATGTAAAATAAAAAGCTTTGTGGACATACTTTAACAATAATTGATTATTAAGAGCTCTCATAGAAAGGTGTATAGTGGAAACAGTAGAAGGAAATGTGTCATATAAATGAATGTTTTTAAAATTTAACATTTACAGTCCATTTTTTACATATTTGTTATACACTAAAATTTAAGAAAATAAATGTCATAAACAAGTTTTTAAGTTTAAGACAGATATTACGAAATGTTTGTATATATTCTAACTTATAAGAACCAATGTACTGTTTTTCTTTATAATTTAGCAAAGTTCCTTTGTATTGAGATTTATCTTCTGTTTGCATCTAGTCAATAGCAATGATTCAAGTAGGACATTCTACATTCAGCATATTTCTATATTAAAAAATCTGTATTTAAAAGTTCAAGTAGTTTTTATATATTTGCCTTGATAGACGATTTCATTCATTCTGAAAATCTATAGTCCTCTAAAATGGGTATGAAATGGGTTCAAAATGCCTTCCAAAATTGGTAAAAAATTAGTTTGTTTGAAAAGGTCAGTAAATGAAATTACATTATACTACAAGATGGAACAGATATAACTTGAAAGATTATATATTGTTTTCTTCTAAATTTTTTAGAATGAACCTTAATGGATCAAGTGAGCTAGTGTTAGAGAAAAAAAGAGGTTGAGAGAGAGAGCGCAAACGATTTATTAGTCTTCCATCAGTTGATTCACTTCTCAAATTTTTCCAATAGCCAGCGCTGTGCAAGGCCGAAGTGGGTAGCCAGGGACTCCCTCTGGTTCTCTCACATGGGTAGCAGGGGACTTGGGCCATCATCTACTGCCTTAAAGAGTTTTCTCTCAGAAAGTCAAGAACTTCACTAGTTTTTTCATTGTCAATGTGTGGGTAATTACCACAGGAACTATGGGATAGAGTTTTGGTTTCTCCATAGCCCAGCATCTGAGTAAATAGTCTCCTTGTCTTTTATTTACTTGGCATGTTCATCAAAGAGTGAATTAATTTTAGTGCTGTTTTAAGAAAAGCAGCATTGGAAAAATATTTCAGATTATCAAAATAAAACTCAATCCAAGGAGAGAGGTAAATTGCTTTTTGCATTATCTGTTGCAGTTGCTGTCTGTTTCATTGGTGTATTGAATTAACTTTTTTTAAGAGTTCCGTTGCTTTTGAGATAGAGTACTTAGATAATGTCATGAAATTAGAGATCACCTTTCTCATGGGTGTTTTGAAGGCTTTTATATGCATACTATTTATCCCATTTGTAACCATTTGTTAATAATTTCTTAATGGCCATATTTTAAAGTGCTGGTATATGCAAACAGAAACCAGTCAGCTCGTACCAAAGGTATTTGATTTAGAACTATTGGATTGTGTAACTAAAGAGAAGAATGTAGAGAATTCTCAGAAAGGCTTCAGAAGAAACCAAGAAATGTCTGAAACGTCATTAAAAGCAAGCAAGAGACATTGCGAATCCCTGTTTGCTTTTGTCTGGGCTGAGAATTTGAATGATAATAGTTGTGGTGTCAGACTCATTTCAGATTTAATTATAAAAAATTAATTTCTTTTCCTATCCTAAGATTCAAATCATATTGTTAAATATTATTTATTATTTATATTTATATACTTTATATAATATATAATATAAATTTATATTTATTATTAATTATTATTGTTGTTAAATATTGTTAAAAGACTTGGTGGAGTATATTTGATGGATTTTGGATATTATAGAATAGAGTGCTGAACAAAATCACAGCATAGATAAATTTGCCATCTGTCATAATCATGCTACTTGTTGGTGCTTATTAAAATAAGTTTATATTTTTTATAAAGTATATAATGCTTTGATGTAATATGTTTTCTATAAGGTCAAAAGAAATAGACTGGCAACCTTATTTTACTACACGAATTGTAGATGATTTTGGCACACACCTACGAGTATTCAGAAAGGCTCAACAGAAAGTAACAGAAAAAGATGATCAAGTAAAAGGTAATGGTGTTATTCTGTTTGAAATTTAGATTTAGAAATCTGAATCCCTTTATCATTTTGCATATCTCAGATGGTTCCTGTCTTTGTGCAGGTACAGCAGAAGATCTTGTAGATACCTTCTTTGAAGTTGAAGTGGAAATGGAGAAGGAAGTTTGCCGTGACCTAGTGTGCACTTCTCCCAAAGATGAAGAAGGTTTTCTTTTCACTGTACTCTTTTGAGACTAGTAACTGAATAGAGACAAGTTAACAGAACAAATCTAAGGGTGAAATTATTCTTACATAGGACAGGTAACATAGTAAAGACAATATTTATTTTATTTGTTGACTCTTAAAAAATATTTCTAGATTCCTGTTTTTTTAAAGCTTATCTTTAAAAATTAACTTGTCTTTTAAATTACAGCAAACACAAACATTTTATAATTGAAAATTACATCTTATGAATGATAATAGTTTCTTTTATCCTTGAATTCACTATTTCTTCTTCAATAGCACATGTGTTACTTGAAAATATTTTCCAAGGGAATAATTATAACAATTTTGAATTAAATTTATAGGTTTAAATGGAGTTATCTTTCCTTTGTGGGAAGGTAGGCCAGGCAGATTTTAGTTGAAGATGTCTTTTCCCAGTTTTACAAGCTATTGACTTTTTGCTAAGTGGCACATTTTTAAATTAGTAAGGTTGTTTATTTAATTATGTTCTTAGGAAGTATCAGCATAGGAACAACTATAGAGAAGCATTTCTGGTTGTGGAATTTTTTTTTTTTTAATTTAAAAAATGGGCTAAATTAAATTATTTCCTTTAATTCTCCCTTTTTCCTGCTTCCATTTGACATTTATTGTACCATTCAGTTTTTAATTGCCTGTTCATTAGCACTGATATGAAATCACTAAATATAAGTAGATGTATATCCCAGACATCATTATATCTACTTTTTTTGGACAGGCAGAATTAGAGAGAGAGACAGAGAGAAAGGTCTTCCTTCCGTTGGTTCACCTGCCATGGCTGGAGCGCTGCACCAATCTGAAGCCAGGAGCCAGGTGCTTCCTCCCGGTCTCCCATGCAGGTGCAGGGCCCAAGCACTTGGGCCATCCTCCACTGCCTTCCCGGGCCACAGCAGAGAGCTGGACTGGAAAAGCAGCAACCAGGACAGAATCTGGCACCCCAACCAGGACTAGAACCTGGGGAGCTGGCACCGCAGGTGGAGGATTAGCCTAGTGAGCCGCGGTGCCGGCCTATATCTACTTCTTTTATATATATTATTTATATAATATTCATAGCTACTAGAAAAGCATACTCTTTTTCTTGTGTTAAAACCTGTTAAGAGAGTGGAGATTTCTCTTGAAAGAATTACATGTGTATTTTTGAATGTATAGATAACTTATATATGCAAAAGTAATTAATATTTGGTGGAAGTTTAAAATATATAGTACATTGAAAACTATTTTGGGAAAAAACACTTTTGAAATTGAAGTTTCTGATGCAATTTAAAAATCAGTTAAAACAATGGAATTTTTTAAAATGCTAGTTTAACTAATCAATACTTACTATTTGGAAGTGAAGCAGTTTTTAATGAGTACTGATGTGTACTAATTGTTGAAGTTATAAGCCAGTATTATCAGGAAACTGCTTGTTACTGATCTTTTGTGATCCACAGTAGATGGAGACTTTAGATTTTCTAACATTATTACAGTAACTTTTTCTGTTTTTAGGATTCCTAAGGGATTTGTGTGAAGTCTTGTTGTACTTATTGCTACCTCCTGGAGATTTCCAGAACAAGATCATGCGATACTTTGTCAGGGTAAGCTTAAACTTTCACAGAGTGAAGGCTGCAGAAAACCTTAAGAACAGTAGTTCTCAAAAATGGTGGTCACAAGACTGTGTTGCATTCTTGAAAATTACTGAAGACCCCAAAGGACTTAGATTTATATGGATTTTCTCTGTAAGATTTATGTGTTGTAAATTAAAACAGAAGTTTCTAAAGCACACAAAGACATAAGTATGCATTCCGTTACGAGCTGATTTGTGATGCCATCACACTACTTTTTTTTTTTTTTTTTTTTTTTTTTAAGATTATTTATTTGGAAAGCAGAATTTACAGAGAGGCAGAGTTAGAGAAGTCTTGCATCTGATAGTTCACTCCCCAGATGGCCCCAGTGGTTGGAGCTACACTGATCTGAAGCCAGGAGCTTCCTCCGAGTCTCCTGCTTGGGTGCAGGGGCCCAAGGATTTGGGCCATCTTCTGCACTTTTCCAGGCCATAGCTGGATTGGAAGTGGAGCAGCCAGGACTAGAAACAGTGCCCATATGTAATACCAGCACTGCAGGTGGCGGCTTTACCCATTATGCCACAGCGCCGGCCCCCGTGCTACCTCTTGAAAATGCCGCTTGTCAGGCTCCTAAGATAATGTGAGTGAAGAGATGGATAGTAATACTTTAGTATTACTTTGAAAATGGTTGGAGAACGAGTTCAAGGGCCCTGACTACTGACTTTGAGAACTGCCTTATTTAGAGGTAGGCGGTTATAGTTATATATATATATAGTTATATTATAAACAAGGAATGTTTATCACCAGATTAACATCTGCCACAGAATGAAGATACCAGTTACGGCACAGGTTTCAGGTCAGGAGTCTACCTGTGTGGTCCTATAGACAACCCTCTCTGGAATAGCTCTGCAGTGTTTCTTATTACTTGCCATGTTTTCCTTCTTGAAACTTTTTTCTTTGCTTCTCTGTTGTATTGCTGTCTTCTCATTTTTTTTTTTTCCTCCTTTGGTCTTTTTTTTTTTTTTTTAAACAGGCAGAGCGGATAGTGAGAGAGAGAGACAGAGAGAAAGGTCTTCCTTTGCTGTTGGTTCACGCTCCAGTGGCCGCTGCGGCTGGCGTACCGCGCTGATCCAATGGCAGGAGCCAGGTGATTATCCTGGTCTTCCATGGGGTGCAGGGCCCAAGGACTTGGGCCATCCTCCACTGCACTCCCTGGCCACAGCAGAGAGCTGGCCTGGAAGAGGGGCAACCGGGACAGAATCTGGCGCCCCGACCTGGACTAGAACCCGGTGTGCTGGCGCCGCAAGGCGGAGGATTAGCCTAGTGAGCCGCGGCGCTGGCCTCCTTTGGTCTTTATTTTAGTTATCTCTGTATACCTTCACTCCTATTCTGCTTCACTTTGAAATTTTCAAGTTTTTTGGTCCTAGGCCTTCTTCTTGATCATCAGTTTCTTTGCTTTAAGCAAATGAGTTCTAAATTTGTAACTTTGATACAGAATTCTTTTGAGCTGCAGAGTACTCTGAACCCACTACCCACTGAAAATCACCAGTCGAGTGACTCATAGGCCTTTTAAACTTCATGTTTGCAATGGAAGTCTTACTCTTGCCTCCATATTCTGCCTGCCTTTTAGTCTTCTCTCCATTCTTGGAAGTGGTATGACCATCAGATGTTTCAAATCCCAAGTCCTTTCCCAGTCATACAAGGCCCTGTGTTAACAAAACTTTGTTAACCTCTGCAGCATTCATGTAGTGTCAAAGAAAACTCGAGTTAGAGATTTCAGTGTAGAACTGAGTCTTGTTCCAAATACAAGAGAGAGGTGGAGGTTTGTAGCCAAGGAGCAGATTGGGGATCAGTGGATGGAAGATGACCAAGAGGTCAGGATTAAGGGGAGCTCTGGCTTTGTGGACTTATCAGGATCGTTGGAGAAGGCAGGCCAGCATGGTCAGACACTGTGGGTGGGGCACGAGGCATTTGATCCATTTGAAATGCAATCAGGGTTGGGAGGTTCTAGCTGAACTTCATTGGTAGGCTTCTTGCTGAAACCGCCATGGGATGATGAACAGACATGGAAGCCCAAAGCAAGTCCTCATCGGGAGGAGGGTTCAAAGGAGCCTGATAGGAGTTTGGTCAAGGACACAGTCTTTGTCAGCAGTCGCTGTGACTGATGTGACTCTGGCTTTCTTTCCAGAAGTGCCCTTCTTCTTCCCACCTTAAGGCTGTCTCATACACTTTGTTCCTCTGATAGAATGATTCCCCTTTTTTTCTCTTTGGCTAAATTTTATTCGTTGTCAGCATCCTCATTTGCTGTCGTTTTCTCAGAGATGCCTCCCTAAGCACCTGCTCTCCAGGCCCTCATGGTCCCGTCACTGTGGGCCTTCCCCACTTGTTTTCCTTCACAGTGTTTTAAAGTGATCATTGGGTTTTTCTATTTACTTAACTTGATGTCTCTTATCCCAAGTGAACTTAAATTCCATGAAAAGCAGGGATCATATTAGCATTTATCATACTCATATACTTAGTGGTTAACACAGTACCTGGGACATAGCAGGTACTAAATCATAGTCTAATGCAAGAGGAAATCCTCTTGCTACCCATGTTACACATTACTGATGATGAAACTATTAAATGAGGCTGTTGTTTACAGTAAGTAGGATTGCTGTAGGTTTCTCTTTTATGTCAGCATTTCAATTCTATTTGGGTTGAATTTAATGGGATTAGGATGATTGTTGATTAGTGCATTCAGCAAATCAGTTTGTTTTCCCCTTTACTCAAAAGATGCTCTTTGTCTTTTATCAGTAATTAAACACAGTTTTCTGGAATACATCTTGCTTAGATCAAATAACAGATGAAAGAGTTCTTCCTTTGTATGGATCTGTTGTATAGGTTGCACAAAATGTGGTATTTGAGGTAATTGGAGTTTTAATTGCCTTACTTTCTTTTCATTGCTGAGTTTTATTTAGTTGAAGAATCATGGCTTTGGTGACTTTCTGTAATTTGGGACCCATATGTGATAGTTGGTGCTGTTTTCTAGAAATTGGGGTTCTGGGGCCGGCACTGTAGCGCAGTGGGTTAATGCCCTGGCCTAAAGCACCAGTATCCCATATGGGTACCTGTTCTAGTCCTGGCTGCTCCTCTTCTGATCCAGCTCTCTGCTATGGCCTGGGAGGGCAGTAGAAGATGGGCCAAGTCATTGGGCCCCTGCATCCACGTGGGAGACCTGGAAGAAGCACTTGGCTCCTGATTTTGGATCAGCACTGCTCTGGTCATTGCAGCTGTCTGAGGAGTGAACCAGCGGATGGAAGACCTCTCTCTCTGTCACTGCCTCTCTAACTCTGTCTTTCAAAAATAAATAAAATAAATCTTAAAAAAAAAAAGAAGAAGAAGTGGGGGTTCTTAGAGTAGGAATTATTTGTAAAATGGCTACTTACTTTGAAATGTTCAAAGCTTGCAGGAGCATCTGTATAGGAATTGTTGAATCAAGTAATTAGCCCTTGACCAACCATGCTCTTCTGTGGGGCAGATCAGGAGATCAAGAAATTTTGTAAATGAGATCAACTGATTGCATTAGTAAAGGAAACAGTTTACTCTCAATTCTGCCATATGTGCTTTACTCTGATTTTGAAAAGAAATTTCGAGGGGGCCGGTGTCATGGTACACCGGAGTAAGCTTCTGTCTGGGTAGCCAGCTCCCATATGGGCACCTGTTCAAATCCTGGCTGCTCCACTTACAGTCTAGTGGCCTAGGAAGGCAGTGGAAGAGGGCCCAGGTCCTTGGGCCCCTGCACTCGGGTTTGGGAGGGGAAGAGGCTCCTGGCTCCTGGCACCGAATTGGTGCAGCTCTGGTCATTGCACCCATCTGGGGAGTGAACCAACAGATGGAAGACCTTTCTCTCTCTGTCTCTGCCTCTCAGTAACTCTGCCTTTCAAATAGATAAATAGATAGATAGATCTTTTTAAAAAAAAATTCATGTACTAGAGGTATCCTTTAACTTTTTTCTAGTTGTCAATGTGCAGATGTGTCGATGTTGCTATGGTACCTTTATCTTACTTATTTTAACTGAAGTATATACTAGCTTGTCTTTTCAAGTTTTATGTCCACATGTGTCATACCTTTCCTAGGAAAGTTATTTTATGCTATTGCTTTGAAGTGAACATTTGATTAATTTTTTTTGTTTTTAAAAACTGTTTTAGGAAATCCTTGCACGAGGAATTCTTCTTCCATTAATAAATCAACTCAGTGATCCTGATTATATTAATCAATATGTCATATGGATGGTAAGTACTTTTTAAAATTATAACTCTGTTTTTGAAACAGTGTTTTAGATGTGAATACTGTGTCTGAAGGTAAAGATACCTGCTTATTGGAAATTGTCAAGGGGAGTGACATCAGCAAGATAGTGGCATGAGAAGCCCCAGATACCTTTACTCCCACAGAAATGCCAACTTAATGTATGGTGCAGAAAACCTGTATGAGAACCGCAGAAACCAGATAAGAAGTCTTAATACCACAAGTAAGTTTGAAGCCAAGAATGGCTACATTTAAATAAAAAGAAAAGTTACTTCCTTTTAACTGTGTCAACATCTCCGCTAATCTGGCACAACTCCCAATTGAGATTACAGTTGAGAGGGAAAGAGATTCAATGTTGGGATTCCTCAAAGAGCTGCCCCGAGAGTTTCTCTCTCTCCTGACATGGACCATGGTAGGGAGCTGGTATCCTGGTATCATCTGGATACTGGGGAGAGCACAGAGCACACAGGGCAGCTCTGCAGCTTGTGTGGAGACCAGAGAACTAGTAATACCACAGACAAAATCCTGTGGTCAGAATTGGGACTTCTCCCATGAGAGGGAAAGAGCGAATGGGACCTGTGTCCACTTATGGGATTTCCAGGGGGATACCTGTGGTGCTATTTCTGTGGTGCTTGAATGAGAGCCCTGAGGAAGCAAGCACACCTTGATGCCTGGTGGCTGTGGAGGACAGAGGAGAGCTCAGTGGCTTGTGGTAGTATCAGAAGGCTTCTGTAGACAGACCAGGGGAGCAAGTAACTAAGACACGAGAAAGAAACCAACTGGGACATTAGAGAAGGTGCAGCCCTGTAGAAGGTTTGCGAGGTCCACCAGAATCTGTAGGGCTGCTCAAAGTCCTCCTCTGTGTGACGGCCAGTCTGCAGATTTAGGATGGGTGGCCCTGTTTTCAGATGTAAAAATCACAGCGAAATGAGAACAGGGCTAAAATAAAAGGACCAAATGAATATTCAGGAACTGCAGAAACATATCTGAAAAAGAACTGAAAATAAACAAGGACCAGCACTGTGCAGACAGTTAAGCCAGTGCCTTTGATGCTAGCGGCCCCTGTCCAAGTGCTGGTTAGAGTCCCAGCCACTCCACTTCCAATCCAGCTCCCTGCTAAAGCAGCAGGGAGTGCAGTGGAAGATGGCCCAAGTGCTTGAGCCCCTGCCAGTCATGTGGGAGACATGGGTGGAATTCCTGGCTCTTCAGCCTGGTCCAGATCTGGGTGTTGCAGCCACATGGGGAGTGAACCAGCAGATAGACGATCTCATTCTTTCTATTGCTTTAACTTTCGAACAAATAATCTTACCAAAATTCAATATATTTGAAATAACCATCTTAAAGAAGTTCAGCATATTAAGCGAGAACACAGACAGCAACGTTAGTAAGCGAAAATGTATGAACAAAAATGAAATTAGCAACAAAGGGAAACAATACAAACAGCTCTGCAGCTAAAAATTGCAATAATAGAATTCAGAAATTTATTAGAGGGGATTCACAGCAGACCTGTAATCAGGGAACCTGAAGATGAGTCATTTGAAACTATTGAGACAGAGGAACAACTAAAAAGGAAGAAAAATGAAGAAAGCCTAAGGGACTTATGAGACACCATAATGAAATCTGTATATGCATTATGAAATATTAGAGGGTGATGGGCAGAGAATTTGTTTGAAGAAATAATAGCAGAAAATTTCTCAAATCTAAGAAAGGAAATGGACATCTGAATTCAAAAAAGCTTTAGAGAACTCCAGCTAGGGTAAACCTGAAGAGGCACTGTAACAGAGGCATGATAATCAAACTGCCAGTCAGAGTCCAGGGCAGGCATTGTGGCACAGCACTTTGAGCCATTGCTTGAGATGGTATCCCACTTCCCAGTGCTATTAGAGTCCTTTCTGCTTCACTCTGCTGATCCACCTTCCTGTTCATTCTTGTGTGAGACAATAGGTGGTGATGATGATTCAAATACTTGAACTCTTGTCATTCACATGGGGGACCCAGATGAATTCCTGGCTCCTGGCCTCAACCTGGTCCAGCCATGGTTGTTGTGGCATGTGGGTAGTGAACCAGGAGATGGTTCTCTTCTTTCCTCCCTCTTTCTGTCACTCTTCCTTTCAAGGAGATGAGAATAAGTTAAGGGGGAGAAAAAAGAGAGAGAATCTTGAAAGCAGCAAGAGAAAAGCAAATCATCACGTACTAGAGAACATCTATAGGAATATCAGCAGAAATCTTGTGAGACCAAAAGAGTGACTTGATAAATTCAGAGTGCTGAAAGAAAAACAGAACAAAACAACAACAACAACAACAACAAATCTGCTACCAAGGAATACTATAACTCTCGATCCTGTGCTTTTAAAAGGAAGGAGAAATAAACATCTTCCTAGATGAGTTAATGCTGAGGAGGTTCATCACCACGAGACCTGCCTTAAAGGAACTTCTAAAGGGAGTCCATGAAATTAAAACAAAAGGAGGCTAGATACAAGCAGCATGAAAGCATATGAAAATACAGAGCTCTTTGGTGAAAGTAAATATATAGAAGCACATAATCCTGTAACACTGAAGTGGTGGCAATAAATCACTTTTAATTTAGTTACAGAATTTAAAAGATAAAAATATCAGACTACATTAATGGATATAAAATATAAAATGATCTAATGTGTGGCATTGATAGTATAAAGTGAGGGGAATGTAAAATGAGTACTTTTTTACATAATTGAAGTTAAGTTGTTTATAATTTAAATATTTTATGATTGTAGTTGTTTTCTGTAAGCCGCATGGTAACCACAAAGAAAATATGGAGGATTCACACAAAAAAGAAAGGAATCAGTGTGTGCCACTAAGTCAACAAAACACATAGGAAGGCAGTAGGGTAGGAAAAGATGGACAAAATACCATAAAGAAATACAGAAAACAGTGACCAGAATGGCAATAGTAAGTCTCTCCCTATGGGTAATCACTTTAAATGGAGATGGATTAAACTCCCAAGTCAAAAGACAGAATGACTAAATGGATGAATAAATAACACCTAAAAAAAAAATAACACCTAACTATATTCTTTGTATAAGAGATTCAGTTTTGTAATAAGGGTATTAATGGGCTAGAAGTAGAAGGATGACATAGTCCATGCAAGTGGAAGTTGAGATGGGTGAGACTGAAAGTTACCAACTTGTATTCGCGTGGTTGTTTGACCTAACAATCAGCTCATATCCTGAGGTTTGGGAGTGAGGGTGGCAGTAAGACAGTCTTCTCATTAGCATATGAAAAACCTTCTCTTTCCTTGGATTCCATGGATTTTGGGAGATAGATGTCAGGAAACCAGGGCAAAGGCCGAATATATATTTCACAATACCACAACTTAGCCATACTTTCAGCGGTACTAACAGGGAAGTTTGTTTGGAGTGGGCACCCTGGTGTAGTGGGTAAAGCTCCTGTCTGCGGTGTGGCATCTGTATCCCATATGGGCACCAGTTCAAGTCCTGACTACTTCACTTCCTATCTAGCTCCCTGCTAATGGCCTAGGAAAGCGGGAAAGGATGGCCCAAGTGCTTGGGCCCCTGCACATGTGTACACACACACACACCATGGGATACCTGGAAGAAACTCCTATTTCCTATCTTTGGATTAAGCTAGCTCTGTACAATGTGGCCATTTGGGGAATAACCAGCTGATAGAAGATCCCGCTTGCTCTCTGTCTTGCTCTTTCCCTAAATGCCCTTCAAAGAAATAAATTTTTTTTTAAAGAAGGAAGTTTGTAATTGTAAATGCCTACATTAAAAGTGAGCAAAAATCCCAACTTAACCTAATGCTGCATCTCAGGAAACTAGAAATTTTAAAAACATTAAACCGATAGTAGGTTGACATTTCCCAAGGGTTGCCTTATGGGACAGTCAGGTAAGCTGCAATGTCAGCTTCCCATATGAGTGTTGGTTTAAGTCCCAGCTGCTCTGCTTCCAATCCAGCCCCCTGCTAAAGCTCCTGGGAAAGCAACAGAGGCAAGCCCAAGTGCCTGGGTCCATGAGACCCATGTGGAAATCTGGATGGAGATCTGGGCTCCTGGCTTTGGCCTTTACCAGCCCTAGCTGTTGTAGCCATTTGTGGAGTGAACCAGTTGATAGAAGATCTCTGTCTCCCTCTCTGTAACTCTGCCTTTTAAAAAATAAATCTTTTAAAAACTCGAAAAAAATCTTCTCAATAAATAAAAAACCAGGACTGGATAGTTTCACTGGAGAATTCTAACAGGCATTTAAAGGAGAATGAATACCTATCTTTCTGAAACTGCTCCAAAAAGTTGAAGAGGACACAATGCTTCCAAACTAATTATCCTGATACTACTAAAAAGGAAAACCATAGACCAACATGCCTTGATGACTCTTGGGGCAGATTTTCAAATAACCTCATTTACAAAAGCATGAAGAAGACTAGAATACTTAGGAATCAACCAAACTAGTAAGGCAAAAGATATGTGCAGTGAAAACTATAAAACATTGCTGAAAGAAATCAGAACACAAATAAATGAAAACACATGGATTGGAAGACTTAACATTATGAAGCTCTCCATACTAAGTAAAGAACCTACATATTCGGTTGCCCCAATGATGGTTTAACAGAAGTAGAAAAACAATGCTATTTTATATGGACTCTCCAAGGACCATAAATGGGCAAAACAGTTGTGATAAAGAAAATTCAGGAGGTCGCACTCTTCCTGATTTCAAAACCTATTTTCCAAACAGTATGGTACTGTCACAATGAAGAATACATACATACATACACACACACACATACACACACATACCCCTTGTAGAACAGGATAGAGAACCCAGAAAGAAGCCTTCATGGATATGGTCAAATTATCTTCTGTATAGTCATCAACCGGCTGCACAACAGGAAAGGATAATCTGTCTTCAGCAGATCATGTTGTGAAAACTAGATAACCGTGTGCAATATAATGAACTTGGACCCTTGCCTTATGCTGTTTGCTAATGTAGTAATCAGTGCAAAATGGATCAAAGACCTAAATGTAAGACTTGAGACTATAAGACTCCTAGAAAACCTTCATGGATTTGGCTATGATTTCTTAACTATGACACTAAAAATTCTGGCAACAGAAACAAAAAAAGACAGTGGAAGTACTCCAAACTATGAAGCTGCACAGCAAGAAAATAGTCACCATAGTAAAAACTTTCAGAATGGGGGAGTCTGTTTGCAAGCCGTGCATCGGATTAGGGGTAAGAGGTTATTACTTATATATATAAACACATACACACAAAACTGCAACTTGATAATGGCAAAAAACAAAGTGACTATTTTAGAATTTTATTTATTTTTTTTGAAAGAGAGAAACAAATCTTCCTGTCGGTTGATTCATTTCCATTTGCTGGTTTACTCCTCACTAGCCAGGTTTGGGCCAGGCTGCAGCTGGGAGCCTGGAACTCAGTCTGGATCAGTCACGTGGGTGGCAGGGACCCAACTACATTAGCTATCACTGTTCCCCTCCCAGGGTGCACAGTAGCAGAAAGCTGGAATTGGAAGCAGAACTGGGACTTGAACCTAGGCAGGTGTCCCAAGGGCATCTTAATCAGCATTCCAAATGGCTACTCCAAAAATCAACTTTAAAATGGGTGAAGAATTTGAAGACAGTTCTTTGTATTAGTTATACATATGTCCAACAGTTACATGACAAAGTGCTCAACATCCCTAATCATTATGGAAACACAGCTCAAAGCTGCATTAGCTATTTCATCTTACAAATGTTTATGGCCACTATGAAATTAAAAAGAAAACAAGTATTGGCACAGGTGTGGAGAAATTTGAGCCTTTATAGACTAGTTGGAATGTAAAGTAATCAGTTCTTAGATTCCTCATATTCTTGACCTATTGTAAACATTTGACAAAGCTTATCAATTTCCTTGTTAGAATACTTTTAATTTGGCTTGTTAGGGCAAAACACTTGATTTTTCTTCTACCTTTCAGATCTTTGTCATTCTTTTTTTGCTACTTAAATGTGCCAGGTCTCTGTCCTCGTGTCTCTTTTCTGCCTCGTGCCTCTTTTCTGTTGATGGTTCTCACCTAGGTTCATGGTATTAAATGTCATCTTTATGTCAGTAATTTTGCAGTGCCCCTTTCTTTCTAGTCCTCCTCCCTGAATGCTTGTGCTTCCTGTGCATGGTCACAACACCTTCATTTGGATTTTTAATGTGATCTACATTTATCATGGCCAAAACCAAGCTTCTGATACTCTACCCTTACTGTAAAATAACCCTGACCTTCTGGATGGTTCCTCCATCTTGTTTAAGAGTAACTCCGTTAGCCGGTGCCGCAGCTCACTTGGCTAATCCTCTGCCTGTGGCGTTGGCACCCCAGGTTCTAGTCCCAGTTGGGGCACCGGATTCTGTCCCAGTTGCTCCTCTTCTAGTCCAGCTCTCTGCTGTAGCCTGGGAGTGCAGTGGAGGATGGCCTAGGTCCTTGGGCCCTGTGCCCGCATGGGAGACCAGGAGGAAGCACCTGGCTCCTGGCTTCGGATCGGTGCAGCGCGCTGGCCATAATGCGCCGGCCGTAGGGGCCATTTGGGGGGTGAACCAACGGAAAAAGGAAGACGTTTCTCTCTCTCTCTCTTTCTCTCTCTCTCTCACTCTCACTCACTCACTCACTCACTCACTGTCTAACTCTGCCTGTCAAGAAAATGAAAATTAAAAAAAAAAAAAAAGAGTAACTCCATTGTTCTAGTTGTTCAGGCCAAGAATCTTGATGTAGTTTGTATTTCTTTTTATTTTGTACTCATATCTGATTTGTTAGCCAATTCTTTTGGCATGTCTTTACTTCTTACCACAAAACACTTTACTGGAAAAGCACTTTGCAGAGCACTTTTTTATTGCCACCACTCTGCTTCTAGGCACCGTGTTGTTTTTCCCCTCCTCTCTACTCTGCCTTTACTTTATTTTTATAGAGCAACACAGTGATTCTGTTATATTTCATGTCAGTGTGTCTTCTTCTGTTTAAGCCTTCCAGTAGCCTCTGATTTCCTTCAAACTGAAAGCCAAAACCCTCACTCTGTAAGACTTGCTCTGCATTACTGCTGACTCAGCTTCTCAACTCAGCCCATCTTTGGTTTAGTTCCAGCCACCCGGACTTCCTTGTTGGCAGTGGACTCTCTGAGCATACCCTTGTATTTCCAGCTTGTTGTCTGCTTGTATTTTACTTACTTTATTAGGCATTTGCGACCTATTAGGATATAAGTATCATGAATAAAAGCTTTCTGTTTCTCTTGTAAGCCTTGGGTTTGGAACAAGTGCTACCTGGCCCATGGCAGGCACTTAGGACTCACTTCTCCCCATAATAATGAGTTCCCCTCCCACCTATTTTTGTTTTTGTTTTTTTAAACTTGATTTTCAGATCCGTGATTCTAATTGCAGCTATGAGGCCTTTATGAACATTATTAAATTGAGTGACAACGTTGGAGAGCTAGAAGCGGTTAGAGATAAGGCAGCGGAAGAATTACAGTATCTTAGATCTCTAGATACAGCTGGTGATGGTAAGTAATTAAGTAAAAGAATGTTTTCTTTAAGGATTATTATATGTTCAAACAAAATTTTAATTTACCCAAGTGTCGTTTTATGTTGTTAGTTGGTTTTACCTTAAACAAGTCGTCTCTGTTAATATTGTGCTTAGAATACAAACTTTATTTTCTAAATGTGAGACTGATTATTCCAGGTATCTATAAATAAAGTTATCGGCATGTCATAATTTTAGTTAAATGTCACAATACAGTTTCAGAATATTTATTTACTGCATAAAATAATTGCTATACTAATTGGTTACTTTGTTAAATTGTAGGTATATGTTTAAACTGTTTCATAGGTAGCTTTCCTGGCTTATAATCAATTTGTTTGTTTTTAGATATCAACACTATCAAAAATCAGATAAATAGCTTATTGTTTGTAAAGAAAGTATGTGATTCAAGAATACAGCGGTTGCAGTCAGGCAAAGTAAGTAAGACACTTTGGAATTAAAAATAGTTATAAGTGCTTTATAGTAATTAGAATGCTGAGTAAGTAATGAAAAGTAGCAGACTAACCAGCACAGCACTCTAAAATAATTTTTTGAAACATTTACTCATATGCAGTGTCACATGGTATGAGAGTGATTTAAAACCATTGCCTGAAAAAATGCTAACGAATTAAATATTTTGTTTTGTGACTTATTTGTTGATTTACTCATTCAAATATAACACTGAATATTATGAATTGAGCACCATTTTAGAAGGACTAAATAAACTATCTTCATGGAGCTGATATTTTAGTTGCAGAATCTGAAAATAAACCAATAAGAAAATTGATACAGCATCAGATGGTGATACCTGCTGTGAAGAAAATAAGTAAAGCAAACTACAGGATAGAGAATGTCTTGGGAGTGTTTTGGTGCTGAGAGATTTGGTGATGTTGGAGCTTTGGTCTGAATAACATCAGGGAGTTAGTCCTATGGTTTTTTTGTTTGTTTGTTTGTTTTTGAAGTCTCTTTAATGCAGAAGCAAATGCAAGGATCCTGAAAAATGGGAACATCTTGGGTGAGTTAGTAGAGACCAGTGTGGCTGGTATGGAATGAGAAGGAATTGAGCCAGGAATGAAGTTATAGAAGAAACTGGTCATACATCATGTATGGTCTTTCTGGCCATACTAAGATTTTTTTATTTTAATGTAATTGTGATGGAAAGCAATTTGAGATTTCCTTGACAAGAGACATGATCTGACCTACATGTTAAAATGATTATTTTCACTCCTTGTGAAGAGTAGACTGTGGTAGGATGGTAGGAGCAAGAATGGAAACTGAGAGACCATCGATAAGAGAACTGTGAAACTGTGATAAGAGGTGAGAGACTGGATAGATTGCTAACAGGCTTAGGAAGGTGACTCCAGCATGGTTCTAAGACTCTTCGGCTCAAGCAGCTACATGAAGGGTGATGCTCTTAACTGCAATGGGAAAATCAAAGGCAGGACTCGATTTCAAAGAAAGTTCTAGGGATCTCTTAGAGATACAAGCAGACTTGTCAATTGGTAATCTGGAGTTCAAAGGCCAGTGGTGGAGATAATCTGTACAAATTCTCAGAATTATCACATATTTCTTTAATGTTAAGCTTTTGGATGAGGTCATTGTGTTGGTGCTTTTTTCTTTTTTTTTTAAGATTTTATTTATTGGGGCCAGCGCTGTGGCGGAGTGGGTTAACGCCCTGGCCTGAAGCGCTGGCATCCCATATGGGCACTGGTTCGAGACCTGGCTGCTTCAGTTCCGAACCAACTCTCTGCTATGGCCTGGGAAAGCAGTAGAAGATGGCCCAAGTCCTTGGGCCCCTGCACCCGTGTAGGAGATCAGGACGAAGCTCCTGGCTCCTGGCTTTGGATCGGTGCAGCTCTGGCTGTTGCAGCCAATTGGGGAGTGAACCAGCGAATGGTAGACCTTTCTCCCTCTCCCTCTCTCCTCTCACCTCTCCCCTCTATGTAACTCTGACTTTTCAAAAATAAATAAATATTTTTTAAAAATGATTTTATTTATTTATTTGAGAGGTAGAGATACAGACAGAGGGAAACAGAGAAGGTCTTCCATCCACTGATTCCCTCCCTAGATTGCTACAGTGGCCAAGGCTGGTCCAGGCTGAGGAGCTAATATACCTGGGAAAGCAGCAGAAGATGGCCAAAGCATTTGGACCCCTACACCCATGTGGGAGACTTGGAAGAAGCTCCTGGCTCATGGCTTCGGGTCGGCTCAGTTCTGGCTGAGTGACTCTTAACTAGGAATTTAAATTCGCTGAATGAGAGTGTTGTATTGGGAAACAACATACCTGAGAAGCGAAAAACTTAATCTTTATTCCATTTTAATTTAATGCATTTTTCCCTAAAATTTTAAAGATCTTTAACCTAATAAGTGATTGGGAGAAATATTGACTTAGTCTATTCATTTTTATGTATAGGAAATAAATACTGTGAAACTGGCAGCAAACTTTGGGAAACTTTGCACAGTCCCCTTGGACAGCATTCTTGTAGACAATGTTGCACTACAATTTTTCATGGGTAAGTAAATCCATTTTATTTAAAGTCAGTGAAAAATTTTTTCCATTTTTAAATTTGTGGTAAAATATACACAGCATAACGTTTAGCATCTTACCTGGTAAGAAGTGTCCAGTTCAGTGTTAATAAACGTATTTTTAGTGTTGTACATCCACACCTCTATCAATCTCCAAAACTGGTTCTTTGCAGTAAAACTAAAACTATGTACCCATTACCCCTCCCATCCCCTCCTTCCCTCACTGTCTGGCAGCCACCTTTGCTCTATCTGTCTCTGATTTCAACTGCCCTGAAGTTACCTTGTAGATGTGGAATTGCACAGCATTTGTCTTTTTGTGATTGGCTTAGTTCATTTAGCATAGATTCACCCATATTATGCCACATGTCAGAATTTTTCTTTTTAAGGCTAATAGTGCACATATTGTCATGAGCTGTATAATTACATTTCCTTCAATGATGGACCACATATATGACTGTGATCCCATAAAATTATATCATATAATGACATCATAGCCCTCTTAATCTGTGTAAGTGTACTCTGTGATGTTAGCACAGTGTTAGTGCATTCCTTAGGGTATATCGCTGTCATTAAAGGACTCACAACCATACATGGCATTGTTGTAACCACTCATCTGTCCATGTGTGCTTAGACTGCTTCCACAGTGTAACTATTGTGAGCACGTGGCACTGTGGTATCCACTCATCTGTCCGTGGGTGCTTAGACTGCTTCCACATTGTACTTATCATGAGTAATGCTGCTGTGAATATGGGCATACAAGTATTTGTTGGAGATTCTGCTTTAGGTTCTTTTGGGTGTATATGCAGCAGTGGAATTGCTGGGTCATATGGTAATTTTATTCATTTTTTAGGAATCATCTTACTGTTTTCCACATCAACTGTCTCATTTACATTTCCACCAACAGTGTAAAAAGGTTCCAGTTTTTTCATATCCTCCCAACAGTTGATATTTTCTGTGTTTTTATTGTTGTTAGTTACTATCCTAATGGGTATACGATGGTATCTCATTGTAGTGTTGGTTCCCATATCCTTCATGGTGACACAGAGAGGGAAATAGAGAAGAGAGATCTTCAATCCTCTGTTTTACTCCCCAAATTACCACAATAGCAAACGTGGTTAAACCAGGCTGAAGCCCAGAACTTAATCTAGGTCTTCTAAGTAGGTGGCAGGGACTCAAGTACTTGAGCCATTATCTACTGCCTCCCAGGATACACATTAGCAGGGAGCTAGAATTAGGAGCAGAGTAGTCAGGCAAAAGCCGGACACTCCAATATGAGATGTAGGTGTCCCCAGCACATAACCCCTTTATTTCAGGTATATCTGGAAATACAGCATCATGACAAATAATCCTTATTAAAAAAACTGTTGAATGTTTTTGGTGAAGTAGTTTATTTCTGATGAGGCCTTATATAGAAAATTTATTAGAGGTTTTTTCATGAAGAATTCTATCTAAAATTTATTTTTTTAAAGACTTATTTATTTATTTGAAAGAGTTAACAGAGAGAAGGAGAGGCAGAGAGAGAGAGATTGATTGATCTTCAATCCGCTAGTTCATTCCCCAGTTGGCCCCAATGGCCAGAGCTGCACCAGTCTGAAGCCAGGAGCTTCTCCCAGGTCTCCCACATGGGTGCAGGGGCCCTAGCACTTGGGCCATCTTCTGGTGCTTTGCCAGGCCATAGCATAGAGCTGGATTGGAAGTGGAGCAGCTGGGACTTGAACTGGCATCCATATGGGATACTGGCACTGTAGGCGGTGATTTTACCCACTGTGCCACAGTGCTAGCCCCCAATTTTTTATTTTTTAAAGTGTATGCTTCTACTTCAATGTCCTACAGAACTAACGCTTAGCTTTTTAATTTGTTTTCATTGTTTTTTCCCTTCATAGATTGATTATATTTCTAGGACATAGCATTTTAAGTGCTTGAAATGTTAAAAAAGAATTTTTTTTCCTTTTCTTTTCTTTTTTGTTAATTTACTTGAGAGAGATCCAGGAGAGAACTCCCAAGTGCTAATTCACTCCCCAGATGCCTGCAGTGGCCAGGGCTGGGCCAGAGGCTAAGGCTGACAGCCAAGAGCTCAGTCCAGGTTTCCTATGTGGAGTGGCAGGAATCCAATTACTTGAGCTGTCACCACTACCTCCCAGGGTCTGCATTAGCAGGAAGTTGCAAGTTGGGAAATAGAGCCAGCTAGCAAACCTAGGTATTCCGATATGGGACACAGGCATCATTTTACCCACTAGGCTAAATGTTCAGTCCAATGCTTGAAGTGTTTAATACTTTTTCTTTACTGCAACTACAAGGACCCCTAATTGTTGACATTAGTATCTGTGGTTTTTGTTTTTTTTGGTAGATTACATGCAGCAAACTGGAGGTCAGGCACATCTTTTCTTCTGGATGACAGTGGAAGGATACCGGGTTACAGCCCAGCAACAGCTAGAGGTTTTATTAAGTCGCCAAAGGGATGGAAAACATCAAACCAACCAAACCAAAGGTCTTCTAAGAGCAGCAGCTGTTGGAATTTATGAACAATATTTATCAGAAAAGGTGAGGATATATTTTGGTTACTGTGCTCTTATCTTTGACAGTATTGTTAATAACTTTTGCAGTTCTTGCAAAAAAATTATTTATGCTGGGCATGGCTACTTTACAGACATTGTCTCATTCAGTCATGGTAGCATTCTTTATTTTTATCCTCATTGTGTAAGGAAAGAGTCTGAGATTTGGGAAATTAAATTAATGTGGCCAAGCTCCTGCAGATACTAAATCTACAAAATAAAAGATTCAAGGTCACAAAGTTTTCGATTCAAAGACACAGTAAGGTGAAAGTAAAAGCATGGAAAAAGATAAACCATGGAAAAATAAACAGAAGAGAACTGGAGTGGCTATAATAATACAGTCAAAATTTAAGATAAAAAATGATAAAATAAATGTTGTTAGGACAGGCATTTGGCACAGTGATTAAGGTGTCACTGGTACAGCCTTATCCCATCATCAGAGTACCTGGGTTTGAGTCCCAGCTCTGTTTCTGATCCAGCTTTCTACTAATGCACATCCTGGGAGGCACAGGTGATAGATAGATCAAGTGCTTGGGTCTTTGCCAAGAAACGGTGGGAGAAGGTAGAGGTCACCAAAATGGTGAATGACAGAGGAGACGTCACCCCAATCCTATGGAAATTAAAAAAAAGTGTTAGTAAATATTATGTACATCTTTATGATAACAAACTAGGATAGCTAAAGTGGCTAAATTTCTAGAAAGTTAGAAATTATCAGACTGGTGTAAGGGGCAGGTAGGGTGGAAAGAATCACTGTGTTCCTAAAGTTGTATTTATGAAATGCATGAAGTTTGTATACCTTAAATAAAAGGTTTCTGGGTTTTAAAACTGAAGGAGAAATTTAGAAATCTAATGTAGAGTTGCTCCAAGTCTCCTGGCCTGAGGCGTCCTCCCGATCCCTCCCCTTCCCCGGCGCCTCTAACGGAAGAACATTCATCAAGGATTTGGCATCCACGGCCCAGAAGTTTGTTATCCAAGATGATGAATGCTGACATGGATGCAGTTGATGCCGAAAATCAGGTGGAACTGGAGGAAAAAACACGACTTATTAATCAAGTGTTGGAACTCCAACACACACTTGAAGATCTCTCTGCAAGAGTAGATGCAGTTAAGGAAGAAAATCTGAAGCTTAAATCAGAAAACCAAGTTCTTGGACAGTATATAGAAAACCTCATGTCAGCTTCCAGTGTTTTTCAAACAATTGACACGAAAAGCAAAAGGAAGTAGGGGACTGATGTCCCTTCTCTTTCATGGAGTTGCTGCTGACCTTTTTTTTTCCTTTAAAACTTCGATAGATTCCAAAAGTTACAGTACTTTTATTTGTGGCTTCACTGAATATTTCGGAAGATAATGTCAGATGTAGGCAAAATTAACTACTTGAGATTTCCACAAGTTTATGTATTACGTTAGTCTATGAAAATGTGCAAATGTATTGTAGAGACTTTATAATTACAATCGCATATATTTATGACACTTGAAGATGAATGTTTTATCGAGTTTACTTTGATTTATAGGCTTAGCACTGTCTTTTATTATAGGCTTAGCAAGATATACAAGAAAAACCCACCATGTTGTGAAAAAGTGACCAAAATCATGTCCTGAATGCACAGCTTTATGTACCTGTCCACCATGTTGTGCCTCTGCTCCATTTGCCTCTTCCTTCCCACTCACTTCCCCAAGGAAAACAGTTTGTCATTTGTAAAAGTAATTTTAATAGTTAATCATCTATGATGTAATCTGAACCCTAATTGTTGAAACTTAACCAAAATAAGATACTTTCTCAGCTAGGGCTTGTCATTTGTGATATTTAGTAATAAGATAGGATTGCTGGTTTCTCTTTAATCAATTGAAAACAGATGAAGGCTAAAAAAATGACTTTTCCTTGAAAGTAAATTGTCATGAATTTTAAAAGCTTCCTTTTGTACAAGATAATCTACTTGGTATCTGTAAAGATAGGCATCCTAGTCATGTGTGTGCTTAAAAATAGAAAATCTTGAGGGAAAATAAAATAGGGTGTAAAAGTACTTGGTAAAACAGTAGTGAAACAACTCCAGATGTTTTCACTCGAGAGTCGTGTGATCTCTAGTGCAGAGTACATATTTTGGGGAGTATATTTGAAAATGGATTGTTTGACCTTACATAAGCCACCACCGGAAGAGAACAGTAGAAAGAATTTGGTTTCAAGGTTTATTTGTAGAACCCAGCAGATCAACTGCAAAACTCCTTGAGTATATTAGTATCAGAATTGGGAGAATTTCACGGGTGCACTAATTGATAACCTTGCTCAGTATTTTATCTTACTTGTTCTCCCAGAATTTTCTGTAAAGTCAACTTGGTTTGCAGAGTTTTCATTATCCTTTAACAATTTTTAAAAACTTAGTTTCTAGACTGTTTGGTAAGGGAATAATCAATGTCAGAAGTATTATTAAAATGTTCTAGGAAAAGAGATCAAATAATACAGTTTATGATTACTAGATTTGACTACTTTTAATCATGGAATAACCTTATTGTAGAAGTGTAAGATTTGATGTATGAATATATAGTAGTTACACCACAAACATTTTGCATCCCTTTTGTGACCTGATTGACAGATATTTAAATTGTGTTGCAATTCTGCTTTGCTGTTTAATAAAAAGCTGTTTCAGAGATAAAAAAAAAAAAAGAAATCTAATGTAATAAGTAAAGAAATTGATTAATAATTGAAAATCTTCTCACAGAAAAAAAGGCTAGGCCTAGACAGTTTCACTGGTAATTCTGTCAACTGTTTCAGGAACTAATAGTATTTCACAAACTGTTCAGAAACTAGAGGAGACAGGAACACGTGGCTTCTTGTTTCGTGAGGCCAGTGTTAGTGTGATACCAAAGCCCAGTATATCACCCAGGAAACTACAGACCAGTGCCCCTCATTAATGCAGACACAGAAATCCTCAAGATTCAAGATCGTTCTCACTGTGGTACTTTTAATGACTCTCTGCAGTATGACACCTATTAATTTATTCTTGCACATTTTTTTTTTTACTTTTAGCCATGAATTTTATTTATTAAAGCATGTTAAAACTCTGCCTCATGAAATATATTCATACTCTCATAACTGCATAATTTTTTATTTATAGAAGGTGAACAGATTTCATGTATTTCATATATACAGATAAGGAGTGTAGTGATACTTCCTACCCTACCCATAAATGCACATTTTTAAGAATAACTATATGACAAACACATTTATACACACAGTCCAGCTTTTAATGTGCTCTGAAGCTTTGTATATTTTCTTTACTTTGTATATTTTCTTTACTTAATGTGCTCTGAAGCTTTGTATATTTTCTTTGCTTGTTCTCACCTGTCATGTTCACCTGCTGCTTTACTTCCAGTTTCCTGAATTTGGAGATAATTATTCACTTGTTTTCCCACACATTTTTATCCTAAATATATTTTCTCCTAAATAGTATATTGCTCAGCATTTTTTCTAACCTTTGCTAAAATGGCATGATACTATATTTATTGTGTTTTTAAATTCCTCATTATATTGAAATACATATATTTTGATCTCTACAGGTGTAGTTCATTCTCAAAGAGGTATTTAATTCCATGGATGGATGTGTAGGAGCTTATTTACCTGTGATGATGTCTTAGATTTTGGCAATGAGTACAAAAGATAAAGAAAAATATAGCACTTGAGTCCTTCCATAAAGAGCCAAAAGTATTGTTTTAGTATTGAATGACTATAGCATGGATTATCTGTCTTCCATAGCGATGGCTGTTTTTCCTTTGACCACTGATGTTAGCAGCTGTGATTTGCTGTTTGCACTCATGAATCACCCATTGTTGAAGCACTCTGCACAGTAGACTTAACTGCACAGTTCAAGAGCATCATAATCGTGAACATTAATGGTCCATCTTTAATTTTGCTGTATTATAATTTGTATTTGACAACACTGGTTTAATTTTATGACTTTGTGTATGTGGCCATTATTAAGAATTCAGATAATAAAAATCAAAATAATTATGATACAAATGCCAGTGTGATCCAGGCATCACCAAAATGGAAATATAGATACCTTTGTTATTTTAATAGCAAAGGACAGAAGGTACGTAAAACTGAATTAAGGAATATGGATATAAGCAAGATACAACATCTTATATAATTTTGGACTTGATCATGGTGGAGGGGATATGAAAGCACTAAGATTCAGTAATCCAATCTAAGTTAGTAAGAAAGGTTTCCCATCTCTGAAAGACACCAGTGATCAGTTGAACGTAGTGATTACTGAATAGGCATGGGCATAGCAAACATGAATGTGTGTTGGCCTGTTGTTTCCTTGATTATTCTGTGAGACTGAGGTTTGGAGGTTTCAGCTAAAATGTCCTGTGGGTCAACAGGAGAGGAACTTTGGTTAACAGATGTTTTGGCCCCCAGGCAGGTAGAGCTGAGTTTGTTCTGTCTGACCAACTGTTATGGTTTCTATAGTATGTCAGGTATGCATCAGATCATTGTGAGAAAAATATTTCACATGGGTGCTAAGTACTTCGATTTGAGAAATAGAGTTATATGTGTCTCTTTTATTTCCTGGGTTTCAACAAACTGCAGAAAATACAAAACAAACTTTACTCATCTATCTATATACTCAGCATAAAGTGCAAACATAAATTTTAACAAATTGCAGTCCGTGAACTTGCCAAAGAAAACTAAAAGGTGTTACTTGGCTAAGTGTCATGTGTTCCCTGTACACAGCACTGCTGAAAACAGAATTTGATTTCTTACTTGTGATAGTGAAGCTTTTGCAGAGAAAGTTCAGTTGTTCATTTTTTATTTTCCTCAGAATCTGAGTAATACTTGAGATTTTGACATACAAAAATATCAGGAGATAACGTTCTTAGATTCATATCTACAAGGTGGCTGTCATTCTTGCCAGCTATTGAAAGACGCTGGAAAATGTTGGCCTGTGGTAAAATCATGTTCTCAAAGCAGAGGACAGAGTGTAGGAAAATACTGCAGGAATGAGAATGGAGAAAAGAAACACAGAAAACAGAATTGCATGCTGTTTCTCTAAAACTGGTGAGTGGTCTTTGAAGCATGCAGTTGGAGCCTAGAAAAGGATGAGATGCCTGACCTGAGCTATTTGATGGTGTGTGTTAGCTGTGAGCAAACACATCTCATTTTGTTGAAATAAGACCACATGACAATCAAAGTAACCAGAAAAGGACAGCCAACTTAAATAGTTTCTTTTTTCTTTTCTTTTTTTTTTTTTTCTTTTCTTTTTGACAGGCAGAGTGGACAGTGAGAGAGAGAGACAGAGAGAAAGGTCTTCCTTTTTGCCGTTGGTTCACCCTCCAGTGGCCGCCACGGCCGGTGTGCTACGGCCAGTGCACCGCGCTGATCCGAAGGCAGGAGCCAGGTGCTTCTCCTGGTCTCCCATGGGGTGCAGGGCCCAAGCACTTGGGCCATCTTCCACTGCACTCCCGGGCCACAGCAGAGAGCTGGCCTGGAAGAGGGGCAACCAGGACAGAATCTGGTGCCCCGACCTGGACTATGGACTAGAACCCGGTGTGCCAGCGCCGCAAGGCGGAGGATTAGCCTATTGAGCCGCGGTGCTGGCCTAAATAGAGTTTCTTGACTTACAGTCTTAATTTGTTTGAAACCCAACTTCAATTTCACAGATTTAAATTATCTCTATTTTAAAACCGTTCTCTCCAGGAACCTTAATATTGACATCATTGTACTTAAACATATTTTAAAGATTTTTATTTATTTATTTGAAAAGCAGAGTTACAGAGAGGCAGTGGCAGAGAGAGAAAGTGATCCTCCATCCGCCGGTTCACTCCCCAAATAGCCTCAATGGTTGGAGCTGGGCCAGTCTGAAGCGAGGAGCCAGGAGATTCCTCCAGGTCTTCCATGTGAGTGCAGGAGCCCAAGGACTTGGGCCATCCTCCGCTGCCTTCCCAGGCCACAGCAGAGAGCTGGATTGGAAGTGGAGCATCCAGGACTTGAACCAGTGCCCACATGGAATGCTAGCACTGCAGGTGGCAGCCTCACCTGCTGTGCCACAACGCCAGCCCCAACTCAACTTCTTCTAAAATGGGCCTATTAATAAGACTTTGATATAAACTAAAAATGTTATCTCAAAAATCAAAGAGAAAAAATAAAAACACCTCTCCATTAAAAACGTGGAAGAGACAGGGAATCCCTTTTGTGCAGGGTCAGCTTCTGTGTTGAATTTAGAGATGCAGAGGACCTGACTGACAAACAGCTGGCCCACCTACAGAGCAAGCCATGGATACAAAGTTGTTGGGCATTTTTGAAAACTGCAAACATTCCTGCAGATCAAAAAACTTGCTGGTTTTAGTAAATAAAATGCTAGTTTTTCCATGCCAAGTGATTTTGTTGAAAGAATATTGATGTCACATTGGATTAACAGAAGAAATAAATTTGATTTGGACTTGAAAAGACCAAAGTGAAAAGTCAAAGAGAACTTTCCATTTTACTGTGTTCAAGTCGTAAAGCTGCGTGGGAGAAAGGATGTCCTGAAGGCTGCAGCCAGTTGCTAGTAGTGTTACTGGAAAAGGAAAAAGAAGTAGTAAAATTATCCCCTTGCATCATGGAACAAATAGAAAACTCATTGGCTTTTTAAAATTAAATACAGGAAATTTATTTTTGTATGTACATTCTGCTTTTATGTTCTAGGTACATTTTGTTTTTAAAAAGTTGAAGTTTCTGGGCTGGCATTGTGGGGCGGTATGCTAAGCTGCTGCTCATGACACCAGTGTCCCATGTCAGAGCGCTGGTTGGAGTCCTGGTTCTTGCTCTTCCCCTGCTACTTCGCAGGAGACCAGGATGGAGTTGGTGCTCCTGGCTTTGGCCTGGCCCAACCCTGGCTGTTGCATCCATTTGGGGAGTGAACCATAGGATGGAAGATTTCTTTCTCTTCTCTCCCTCTGTCTGTGTCACTTTGCCTTTGAAATAAACAATCTGTTTTTTAAAATGTCTTAAATTTCCATGTTTTCAGAAGATAATATAGGCTAAAAAATTTAAATGTCTATTACAGATTTATAAAAATTAAATTGTATCAGAGGCTAGAAACATTGTAAACTTATATTTTTCTCACACATGTTACTTGTTCAGAGTTCTATTAATTACCAGTAATGGCCACTGTTAACTAGTCCTATAATTTTGTTTAAATAACCACAGTTGTATTCATAGATAATTTTGAGAAAATATCTGCTTTCATAATTCTTTTTTTTTAATTATTATTATTGTTATTTTTTTTTTTTTGACAGGCAGAGTGGATAGTGAGAGAGAGAGACAGAGAGAAAGGTCTTCCTTTGCCGTTGGTTCACCCTCCAATGGCCGCCATGGCCGGCGCGCTACGGCCAGTGCACCACGGCCAGTGCACCGCGCTGATCCGAAGGCAGGAGCCAGGTGCTTCTCCTGGTCTCCCATGGGGTGCAGGGCCCAAGCACTTGGGCCATCCTCCACTGCACTCCCGGGCCACAGCAGAGAGCTGGCCTGGAAGAGGGGCAACCGGGACAGAATCCGGTGCCCCGACCTGGACTATGGACTAGAACCCGGTGTGCCAGCGCCGCAAGGCGGAGGATTAGCCTAGTGAGCCGCGGCGCCGGCCCATAGTTCTTTGTTAAAGTAATAACAACTATGTGTAAGTATTTCTTCTCAGGAGAAGGACTCCTTAATTAGTTATGTCCAATTCTGGCTCTCTGAAAGTGTTGATCATCCGATACAAAGGATGATGCTGTGTCTTGAGATGTACAAGAAAAATTAAAAATTGAAGCGCTGGTTTGAGTCTTGATTGCTCTGCTTCCCATCTGGCTTCCTGCTGATGTGCCTGGGAAGGCAGGTGATGGTGGCCCAGGTGCTTGGGCCCTGCCACCCATGTTGGAGGCACGATGGAATTCCAGCCTCCTTGCCTTGGCCTGGCAGCCATCCAGGGAGTGAACCAGCAGATAGATTTGTCTCTATCTCTCTCTGTATTCTGGCTTTCAGATAAAAAATAGATTTTTTTAATTAAACAAATATGAAAATACTACTTTTAATTGACCTGTTTTTCTTTATTTCCAAGAAGCTGAGTTTAGTGAGCTTAGAGGATAAAAAAAGGCTGGACCAACTAAGATCGTATTTTACTCTTAATTTTTTATCACACAGTTGAATTTGCTTATTTCTCTTATTTCAGGGAAACCAACTTCCCACACACAACAAATAAGCACTTCCTCTACACCACAAAACAAAAACAAAAACACAACCACACTCATTTATGTGGGTTTGCTAATTAATAAGAATGTTGAATTTTTAAAGGAACATCAGAAGTTGTATAGCTCTTTTCCTATGCATTTGTACCCTGTTTACTTTTTCTCCTTTCTTGATTTCTCCATTCTGTTCCTTAGGAATCTTATTGAATAGTGAAATTATTTAAACAATGCATGTTTTGTTTTTCTCTAAAAGTTACCATCTCTAGCACTCACTCACTCTCTAGAGCCTTCAGAATTAAAAATTGAGATGCTACCATGCCAATGCTATTGACATGCCTTGCTTTTCAGCATTTTTTCCCTATAAAGTAATCATTGAAATTGAAAGGTCAGATTTTGTATTTTTGTGTAGTATTTGTCATATTATTTACTTTGAAATGGAGCTTCTTGAAACAAATAACGTTTCAGATATTTTTCCCATCAATATCACACTAAAACTTTGCTGAAGCATTATGAAAACAAATTTAGGATTACTGTAGTCTCTTAAAGGCCATTCAGAAGGATTCTCTGGTGTCAGATGGTAAGTCATATGGCTTTCTTTGTTGGCAGTTGTATCAGTATACATCCAGTGCTGGTGGACACTAAACAGTAGCATCTAATGACAGTGCTTTCTCTGTGCCAGACACTATGCTGTAGTTTTATATAAATATTTTTAATCTTTACAGTAATCTTTTTTTTTTTTTAAGATTTATTAATTTTTTTGAAAGTCAGAGAGTGGGAGAGACAGATTGAGATCTTCCATCTGCTGGTTTACTCCCCAGATGGCTGCAGTGGCCAGGGCTGGGCCAGGCCATAGCGAAGAGCCCTGAGCTTCTTCCAGGTCTCCTACATTGGTGCAGGGGCCCAAGCACTTGGGCCATCTTCTTCTGCTTTCCCAGGTGCATTTTCAGGGAGCTGGATGGGAAGTGGAGCAGCCTGCTCTGAAACCGGTGCCCATATGGCATGCAGTATCGCAAGAGTCAAATCTTACCTGTTGTGCTGCAGTGCTGGCCCCTAGAGGAATCTTAAATAACTTTCTGTAGTGTTAACGCTATTTTACAGATGAAGTAAATGAGGTCAGGTAAGAGGTAACTTGTTCAGCAAAAGTTGATTTAAGTCCATGTTTGACTACCAATCACCTCTGGTATGTGAGGAAGACTCTAACTCAGTTTTTGCATTCATGGACATCACAAACCAGTGATTCTTGTCTTCCAGTTACTTTCAGTCATAACCATTGAGTATTAACTTGTATTTCAAAATTAACAAGATTATTACTACTGTTGTTTTTCTGTTAGGCATCTCCAAGAGTTACTGTTGATGACTATTTAGTAGCAAAATTAGCAGATACTTTGAATCATGAAGATCCAACCCCTGAAATCTTTGATGATATTCAAAGAAAGGTATAGTGCATAATATTTATCATTTTATTTTCTTGAAAAAAATGTATATTTCTATGTCAGTGTAGTTTTTTAACAAGTTATTGAAACATTTAAAAAGACTGTAAACTAAAAAATGGAAATTATAACAATAATACTTCTCAGTTTCAAATTTGTAGGCCACTATTTTCTCTTTATTTCTTTAATTGGGAGGAAAATCCTTGTGTTGAGTTGTTTTATTGGAATCTGGCCAAAAAGTCAGATATTCTAGTCTTGGATTTGATGAAATAATATGAATAACATGCCTTAAAAATTGTTTTTAATATGAGCATTGAGCCTTTCATCTAAATATACTTCAAAAAGTGCATGAGAAAAGAGAATTTATTTTGGTATAAACATTTTAAATCTATGTAGTGCTTCTGTCCTAATGTGTGCTTCCATGAACTTTTTGAAGTCCACTGTACTTGTTTCATAGAAAACACTGCTTTCTAGTCTGTTATCTATAAAACCGGTCATGTGATTTGTGTTGGCAGTAGGATACTCTTCAGTGTGAATCAGGTAGTGGAGGAACCAGAATAACCATTAACTGTGTATAGTGTCACTGCTGACATCTTTTAACTGTGAAATGTTATGGCAAGACTTCCATGTAGCTTTTGGTGAAATCTTACTTAACAGAAATCACTTTATCTGTATTAATTATTGAATATCTTGATTTATTTCCCCAAGGTATATGAGTTGATGTTACGAGATGAAAGATTTTATCCTTCCTTCAGACAGAATGCCCTGTATGTGCGCATGTTAGCTGAGCTTGACATGTTAAAAGATCCTAGTTTCAGAGGATCAGATGATGGGGATGGAGGTAAGCTGGCACAGCTTTGTGTTTAGATGTATGCTGTTTTTTTTTTTTTTTAAGATTTATTTATTCATTTATTTATTTGAAAGGTGGAGTTAGAGAGAAAGAGATAGAGACAGAGAATCTCCCATCCATTGGTTTACTCCCCAGATGGCCACAACAGCCATGGCTGGGCTGGGTCACGCCAAAGCCAGGAGAGGGACTTCACCAGGATCTTCCTTGTGGGTGGCAGGGACTCAAGTACTTGGGCCATCTTCCATTGCTTTCCCAGGCACATTAATGGGGAACAGGATCAAAAGTTGAGCAGCTGGGACTCCAATCAGTACTCATATGGGATACCAGGATCACAGGCAGAGGTTAACCTGCTGCAGCAGCACAATGCCAGCCCCAATAAGTGTATTTCTTTTTGTATATATGGGTTGGGTGTTCAGCCTTGTGGTTAAGACATGGTTAAGATGCTCATGTCTCAAATTGGAGCACCTGTATTCCAAACCCAACTCTGGCTCCTGACTGTAGCTTCCTGCTAATGTAGACTCTGGAAGGCAGCAGTGATGGGTGACTGAAGTAATTGGAGTTTCTATCATCTAGATCTGAGACCTGGATTGAGTTCTTGGCTCCTGGTTATGGCCTGGCTTAGCCCCATCCCCAGCCCTTGTGGGTATTTGGGGAGTTAACCAGTTGATGGGAACTCTGTCTCTCTCTTTTTCTCTCTCTCTCTGCCTTTCAAATAGACAGATAAAAGATATCCTAATTGGAAACTTGGTTGCTTATATGTACAAGAAAACCCTGAGAGGAAAAGTTTTGTTTGACATTCTCTAATATGAATTTTAAAAATTAATTTTTCCTAGTTGCCTTTTAATTAATTTGCATTATGTATGGATTATTAAGGATCTTCTAGTATATTAGTTATGTATTGATTTACGAATGTAGTCTTCCAATGTTTTTGAGCCAAATCTACCAAGAATAAGTGGGCTTAATAGATATATTTAAAATCACTCTGTTTTTCTCTCAATACTGAACTACTTTTTTTGGCATAGTTAATCCAGTGAGAAAGAGTAATATTACTGTTCCCTAATGGGCTTTCACACTGCAGTCTTTTCCTTCGAATCGTGTTGTGTTAGGCTGCTTAATAGTGTACTCTGAGAATGACTGTATTTAACATTGCTCTCCTGTACATGAAAGCCTTGTTGTTATTGGTCAGCTGTCACATTCATTTCTCTGAACGTTCATTTTCACTGAAATACCTGGCTTACGAAACCATGGGACTTAAGGGATCTGGTGTTTGGGAATATACCTCAAATTTTCTTTACCTTTTTGTTATATCTTGGCTTGTTGCCTTTTATTCTTGGTGTTTGAACTTAAATAAAACAAAAATTTCAGATTTTTTTTACTGTATACTAAGTTGAATTTCTCTGTTACAGAATCTTTTAATGGGTCTCCTACAGGAAGCATAAATTTGGTAAGTATTATAGGTACCTGTTATGATAGTGACTTGAAAATGTGAAAGCCTGGGCCTTGACATATGTGGGCAGATGATACATTTTAAGCACCCAGTTATGTTTTTAAAGAAGTATACAGATTCGCATATAAGGCATCTGTGAATTAGAATTTAAAATTTTATTTCATTTTTACTTTGGAAATTGGTCTTAGGTCACACCTGCATAATTGCCACCTCACTTTATAAAGAAGTTGATTAAGCTATTTCCAGTGTTTAGTGTAATTGAATGATTCTCTGATTAGTACTGTAGTAGGCAGTAAATATGTGACACCTAAATGTTCACATTTAGTTTTTTCTCCTGTTACGTAAAAATCATAAAACTAATAGGGATAACCAAGAGGTTTTACATGTTCTTAAAGTCTACACTGAAATAAATATGGATTGTTTATAAAAAGAATTTTTTAAGCTTAGGAAGTTTTATAGCAACTACGTTTTATGATTTAAAATGTGAGAATGACAAATTTTCAGCAATATAAACTGTCACTGGTGTTACATATATTGAGGGTAAAACAAAGTAGTGAACATTTCAGTTCTCTGACATATCCAAGCCTTGCCATTGAGTAACTTATTTCCTATAATTCTGTTAGGAAGAAATATCAGGGTTCCTTAATGGTTTCAGTCCACAGTTTAGCTGGGCAAGGAAGAGGGAGAGAGATGGAAAATTGTTTTGTTTTCCCTTTCACTGGCATTATTTTTTCTTTTAAGTTGTTTGTAATAGCTGAATGTTTGAGAGGTCAGTTGTCTTACTGGAGATAAAGTACACAGAGTTTTTGTGGGAGGCAGATCCAGGAGCACCTGCTCTGTCTAGTACATACCAAAGTTCCAGACTCTAAGAAGGAAAACAAGTGTTCAGCATAAACCATATTGTACAGACCTGAGCTGCAGTGAGCCACTCTTTGTCAGAGAACGGTGGGAATTCCCAGATGCCATCCGAGGGGCAGCCCTGCAGGCAGTCCTCTCTAAGAAGACAGTTTCAGGCAGCCGTGTTCACTGTTGTTCTGCAGTGTCTGCTTTCTTCATGAGCTTATGTTCCCTGTACATGTACTACAGAGGCTATCACTGGAAAGATTTTGTTTGGAATCACTCCGTCAAGATTTTTGCTTATGAAATTGTTTGAAAATTATTTAAAATCTGTCGCAGACTTTGAACTGATTTCATTTGATAAGTAACAGTTTATATGTCATCTCATTTAATTCTCACATAATCCTGTAATGTAGATACTATTATCCTCATTTCTAGATAAGGGATCTAAATTAACTAGTAAAATTATTTAATTAACAGAAGTGAGCTGGTTCTAGTTTAACATCTAAAAATTGAAATGTTAACCTGAGTATGTTTATTTACTGTTATACAGTTTTTCTTTTCTTGCCATATATTGAATATAATTGAAAAGTGGTTACTTAAGCAGTGAAGAAAGAAATCTTATGTATTAACTTGATTACTTTTTTTGGTATAATTTCTTAATTTTGGCTTCTCTTTACTCAGTTAGGATAAGTGGAGAGAATTAGTATTGTGAGGGTGAGGATAGAAAAATTAGTAAGATGTACTTGCAGTGGAGATGAGCAGTGCATCTAAGATGCAGAATTCTTTCACACTTTTTTCTCTGTAAAACTTAAAAAGTTGTTCCCTGGCTTTTTCTCCAGTCTTTAGATGACCTTTCCAGCATGTCTTCTGATGACTCGACACAGCTTCATGCTTACATCTCAGACACTGGTAAGAGACTTCGCGGGATAAGCACTACTTCAAAACCATTGACTATTGTATCCCTCAATTATGTTCTACATTTATTTTTACAAGTCAGTTTTTGTTTTGTAGTCATTTTTAAGTTATCTTTTTTTCTGCACCATTTTCTCCATTCAGTTTTGTGGTTTCCTCTTATGTTGTTACTGTTAACATTTGAAAATGCTTATGTCCGAAGTGTTTTGTCATAGCTAGTAAACTCTGAAACCAGTCTTGTTTATACTTAAGTCTAGATGATAATTTGCATAATCCTTATTAAATCTGTTTTTGAGATGTCCTAGCTCAGTATTTCTTGTCATATGTGTAACATCAGAGTGGAGAACTTGGGTAAAGGAAGCCTCTGCTTACAGGAGTGTGCAAGAGTTCAAGAAATGCTTGAATGGCATGAGAAACCTGTGAGACTGTGATCAGTCAGAACTGTTGGTGAGCTGAGACAGAATCCTTGCTTTCTGTCATTGCCATTGAGTTGTTAGATAATCCTAGTAATTACTAGATAAAGATAGTTTTCTTATGTGCCTCTCATTATTCCCAGAATATGAGTGTGTTTGTCGTATTTTATAGTGAAGTACAAACATACCTCAATTCAGTTTCAAGCTTACATTTTAGATACTAAAGAGATTTTATAGTGTGCGTGTAGTTTAATATATATTAATTTGTATATGTTAAAAAAAGATTTTATTTTCTTTTGTTTTTCACTGGAGCTGGAATCTGATTTTGTATTCTGTTCCCAGCCAGATTTCTGGGACAAGTTAACCATAATTGCTGACCCAGGTTTTCCTTTATCTTTTCCAAATACTTTTTTTTTTACATAGGTTATGCTATCCATATCATTTGATAACAAGCTTTTTATGAAATCAGAGGTCTTGCTGCTTTTCTTCCTAGTTTTTTAATTGTCCTAATTTTTGCTTTAAATTTTTAAAATTTAATTTTTTTTAAACTTCTGTTTGGTTTTTTGGATTGACTTCTAAATGTGAGAAGTGTGAATAGTATTTCAAGTGTGAACAGTATATATATTTTTTAATTTCTTGACGTTCTCAAGCTTTTTCATCCTGTGGTAGACACTCAGTTGATCTTTCTGTTTTCTGAGTGTTCTGGTTTTCTATTTGCTGTGTCCATTTGTTCACCTTTTTAACAGATGCTAGCTTCTGGAAATGTATGGAAGCACTGTGCTAGGCATTTTTGGTAATGTTTCTGTCTGACATAGAACTAGAGAGGCAGCATACTATAGTGATTAACACACAACTTTTAGACTGAACTACTGCCTCTGCCACTTGAGACAGAGAAGTTCCTTCTCTGTGCCTCAGTTTTCTCATCTGTAAGTTGGGACAGCAATAGTAATACGTCATAAGGTTTTTAATATGATAAAGTAACTAATTACATCAGTAATTGTATATGATGGGCATCATCTGTGTTTGTTCAATACATATTTTACCAATTGAACAGTAGACTAGACTCTCTTTGATTCTGGGTCCCGGGTCCTTACCATTTCTATTGCAGGAAATAAGTTACAGTCTAGAGCAGTGCTCCTCTGAGTAGTCCATGCATTCAGCATGTACTGTTTCCTGCACAGAGAAACCTAGCTTTAAAAATATTAGCTAAATTCAACACTGATTAGTAGTAAGATTGATTTGCATTTTGATGCTTGCCCCTTATCTTACCGTGGATTAATAACAGTTGGCAGATCACCTGGTGTGAGAAGCATTGGCCTAATGAAAACAAAATGTTCTAACTGTATCTTCTGAAAATCAACATATGTAACCTCATTATCTTCATTTTCAAATCAAATGACCTCTGTCTTTTGAATTTTTCTTGTATAGTGGCCTCATTATTCTTTCTGTTGTTCATGCACCCTAGGTGATCTCAACTGCCTGTCTATTGGTGTCAAATCCTGTTTGTTCTTTTAAATATTTATTTATTTATTTATTAGAAAGAGTTACAGGGGCCGGTGCCATGGCTCACTTGATTAATCCTCTGCCTGCAGAGCTGGCATCCCATATGGGCACCGGGTTCTAGTCCCGGTTGATCCTCTTCCAGTCCAGCTTTCTGCTGTGGCCTGGGAAGGCAGTGGAGGATGGCCCAAGTGCTTGGGTGCCTGCACCCACGTGGGAGACCAGGAAGAATCACCTGGCTCCTGGCTTCTGTAGCGGCCATTTGAGGAGTGAACCAATGGAAAGAAGACCTTTCTCTCTGTCTCTCTGCCTCACTGTCTAACTCTAACTGTCAAAAAAAAAAAAAAAAAAAAATACAGAGTGAGAGGTAGAGACAGAGAATCTTCCATCTGCTGGTTCATTTGTCAAATGGCCACAATGACTAGAGCTGGGCTGGTCTTGAGCCAGGAGTTTCGCCTGGGTCTGCCATGTGGGTGCAGGGGCCCAAGCACTTGGGCCATCTTCCACTGCTTTCCCAGGCACATAAGCAGGGGGCTGGACTGGAAGTAGAGCAGCCAGGAATTGAAGCAGCACCCATATGGGATGCTGACCTTGCAGGCAGCAGCTTAACCCACTGAGCCACAGCACTGGCCCCCTGTAATTTATTAGAATATATATATATTTTTTTTGCATAACTCTATTCTATTCCTTACTGTTTTCCTTGTTCTTATTAACTTGTAATTGATTGTGGTTGCTGCCTAATTGACCTCTGCTATTCTCTTTTCCCAAATGTATCTTGGATATAACCCATAAAGCCATTCCCTTGTTTGGGAAATGGTGGTTTTCTCACTTGGGAAATGGTGGTTTTCTCATTTGATGAAAAGAAAAGAATTGTACTGTTTCATCTGCAAAATGATTGTAAGAAGTCACAAGTGAAAAACAGTGCCACCTATATGTAATGCCTTTGTAAAGAGCAAGATGACCAAAGTCTCTTTCTCTTCTTAAATCTTGTCAAAGCAGAAACACTGTTACTAGATGTTAAGGGAGAGAAAGACAATTTGGAGTTACAAAGTGCAACTCTTAGGAAAATTTTGGTGACAGCCTGAGAGAAGTTTTTATCCACCTACTACTGCCAGTGTAGATGTCTAGTTTTCTGTATTAAACTATATAAGTTTGGGGGCCTGCGCCGTGGTGTAGCAGATTAAGCGTCCTCCAGCCATCCCATTTCACATCCCAGTTGCCCCACTTCTGATCCAATTCCCTGCTAATGTGCCTGGGAAAGCAGCTGAAGATGGCCAAGTGTTTGGTCTCCTACACCCAAGTGGGACACCCAAAAGAAGCTCCTGGCTCCTGGCTTCAGCCTGGTCCAGCCCTGGCCGTTGCTGCCATTTGGGGAATGAACCAGTGGATGGAAGATTTCTCTCTCTCTCTCTCTCTCTCTCTCTCTCTCCCTCTCTCTCCCTCTCTCTACCTCTCTCTCCCTCTCTCTCCCTCTCTCTCCCTCTCTCTCCCTCTCTCTCCCTCTCTCTCCCTCTCTCTCCCTCTCCCTCTCCCTCTCCCCCTCCCCCCTCACTCCCTACCTCCCCTTTTCTCTGTATCTCTGCCTTTCAAATAAGTAAAATAAATCTTTACAAAAAATTTACTAAAAAGGCTTATAGACTCTTCTTTACCTGCTTTTGTAGATTTCCAAAATTTGACCTCTTTTTGTCACAGTTATGCATCAGTGTAATCCATTGTTACAAGCTCAGTTTTAGTCTTTTAGTCACTTTGGTAATCTGCACTGCTATGGGAAATCCTGCCTCACACACACTTGAAGGTTGAAAATAATACAAAAATAGCCAAAAGGGAAATCTACAGGTGCCATAGACCATGGGGAGGAAAACAGATTCAGGGGAGTGAAGAAACGTTGAAGACCAGGGCCTTTTTTTTGCATAATGACTGCTGCCTTGATTTAACTTCTGTTTACTTATTTGCAAGGCAGAGAGAGAGAGAAAGAATGAGAATAAATAGTCGCTCTCCTCCACTGGCTGACTCCCCCAGTGCCTGTGTAGGCCCTGCACCAGACTAGGGTCTGAAGCTGGCAGCCCAGAGCTTAACTCAGATCTCCCACGTGTGGGTGGCAGGCACCCAGTACCTCCCAGCATCTACACTAGCAGGAAGCAAATCAGGAGTAGGAGTTTAATGTTGAACCTCAGACACTTTGATGTGAGATGCAAGTGTCCCAATTGTGACATCTGAAGTGCTAGACCGATCACCCACCTTTGCTGTCTTGATTTTGATAGTATTTTCATAAAGTTTAGAAGAGGCAGGGTGCGCCAAGGCCATGAGAAGGTGGGACCTAGTCCTTGCATAAAACTCAGAGTTACAAAGGGCAGCTTGATATGGAAGAAGAGCAAAAAATGTTCAGGAGAAAGAACAGGAATTGTCAAGGTCAGGTTGGAAATGATAGCGATCACCAGATAGTATCCCAACATATGCATCTGGATTTAGCTGTCCTGAAGTAATTAATTATTTACAACTGTCTCAAGCTAGAGAGTTAATACAGTCTTCCCCATTATTTGTGGGGGAATGGTTCCAGAACACATGATAATACCGAAATCCACAGATGTTTAAGTTTCTTATATGGTATTTGTATATAATCAGTGCTCATTCTCCTTTATATTTTAAATTCTTTATAGATGACTTGTAAGAGCCAATACAATGTAAATGCTGTGGAAAAAGTCTTGTACTGTATTATTTTGGGACTAACGACAAAAAAGCTTGTATGTGTGTAATACAGACACAAGGTTTTTTTCCCCAAATGTGTTTGATCTGCAGTTGGTTGAATCCACAGATGGGGAACCTACAGATGCTAGGACCTACTGTACTGAAATTCTTTCAGAACCCAAAAACCAATAGTTAATGGTGGTAACACTGCTCAGTATGAATGCTTTCACAGCTTTGGGCACTCAGAATGCCCAAGGGGAAACATCAGTTTTTGGAAATTAGCTTATAGAAATCAGTTAAGTGCCACAGGAAGAAATATGAGTCACAATAAGGGAGAGTCCACGGACCTAGCTAGTTAAATGATTTACATCCTAAAAACTCAAAAATGACAATCTTTAGATTTTAAAATATATTAAAAATATTCATAGACGTAAATCCTAAGACAAGAATAAGCAAGTTTGAAAAAAAGAACATAATAAAATTCTGGATATCAAAAAACACAGTGATTGAAATTAAGAGGATGCATTAAGAAATAGACCAGAAACAAATGAGTGAGGATGCAGTAGTCTTCTGGAGACCTAACCTACAGTAGAATCGAGCACTGAGAGAGAAAGAAATGAAAAATCAAGCCGGCGCTGCAGCTCAATAGGCTAATCCTCCGCCTAGTGGCGCCGGCACACCGAGTTCTAGTCCCGGTCGGGGCGCTGGATTCTGTCCCGGTTGCCCCTCTTCCAGGCCAGCTCTCTGCTATGGCCCGGGAGTGCAGTGGAGGATGGCCCAAGTGCTTGGGCCCTGCACCCACATGGGAGACCAGGAGAAGCACCTGGCTCCTACCTTCAGATCAGCGCGGTGCGCCGGCCGCAGCGCGCTGGCCGTGGCGGCCATTGGAGGGTGAACCAACGGCAAAAGGAAGACCTTTCTCTTGGTCTCTCTCTCTCCCTGTGCACTCTGCCTGTTTAAAAAAAAAAAAAAAAAAAGGCAAATTGAAGAGACTGATTGAATGAGCAGCTCTTTTCTTTTCCGTTTTTATTTTTAGTTTTTAACAGATTGAATATGGTTCATATGTACAATTCTTTTTTTTAAAAGATTTATTTATTTATTTGAAGAGATGAAGAAGCAGAGAGAGAGAGAGAGAGAGGTCTTCCATCCACTGGTTCACTCTCCAGTTGGCCACAACGGCCATATCTGTGCTGATGTGAAGCCAGGAGCCAGGAGCTTTTTCTTGGTCTCTCACGGGGGTGCAGGGGCCTGAGTACTTGGGCCATCTTCCACTGCTTTCCCAGGCTACAGCAGAGAGCTGGCCTGGAAGAGGGGCAACCGGGACAGAATCCAGCGCCCCGACCGGGACTAGAACCCGGTGTGCCGGCGCCGCTAGGTGGAGGATTAGCCTAGTGAGCCGCGGTGCCGGCCACAATCCTTTCTTAAGATTAGTAGTACAAAGCAAGAACAGGTTTTGATTCAAAAGACTTTCTGACCTGGTTTGTATGTAGCAAATTAGTAGGAAAATGCCTTTTTTAAAAAACCCCAAATAAGCTAAAATTATGAATTGTTGAATGTTAAGAAAGAGTTAGAAGAGAAATCTTCTCCTGTTGCTTTTGTTGTCCAGTTGAAGCAATTTTGGATGAAATAGAATAGTGAAAGCTAGTACAAAAGAATATTTTTGTTTCTGTTATTTTTCCTCTATTAAATTTAAATTTGACACTTTAATGCCACCCTCTGAGATGGTGCTGTAGTCACATCACTAATGAAGCAGATAAAAGCTCTTGGGGAAGAGTAATCCAAAATAGACATCATTTTGCAGATAGTGGTGACATCACAAACTTCTGATTTGTATTAAGCTGTCATACTTGATTCCTTAAAGATGTGAATACAAAGGATAGGAATCTGTTTTATCCCTTGGTGACATCCTTTTGTCTCAATCTGTCATTTCAGATTCCTTTTCATTTCATTTTGTCTTTTTTGTTTTTGTTCTTCATCTTCCTCCTTTTTGTGTCTTTTGTTTCTCTTCATTTTGTTTTAAATGATCAGTATATGCTGACTGTGACCCATATGCCGTGGCAGGCGTCTGTAATGATCACGGCAAGACCTATGCCTTGTATGCCATCACTGTGCATCGCCGCAGTCTCAATAGTGAGGAGATGTGGAAAACGTACCGTCGGTACAGTGACTTCCACGACTTCCACATGAGGATCACGGAGCAGGTAATGAGGCTTTTAAAGCTTGTGTGCTTTCTAAATTGTTCGAAAGATGCTCAGATACTGACCAAAGCTAATGAAAAAAATGTTTGTTTTTTTTGTATAAATGTTGGAACGATTTTGAGCATTTAGTCAACTTTTGAAAACTTTAGCTAGTCTTAACTGCTGTGAACTAGTGACAAAATGTCAGTGATATACCTTGGAAAATTAAAATGAATATGTATTTATAATTTCGAAATTTGTGTTTGTTGTGTTTTGCCTAGGTATTTGGGTTTGGTTTGAAGTAAGGATGGGACTTTTCATAGGATACTATCATTTTATTTCTTAATTACTTGTTTTTAATTTATTTGAAAGGCAGAGGTTCAGAGAGAGAAGACAGATAGAGATCTTTATCCATTGGTTCACTCCTCAGATGCCTGCAACAGGCAGAGCTGGGCCAGGCCAAAGCTAGACTCCTGGAATACAGGAGTCTGACATATGGCTGACAGAGAGCTTTGTACTTGAGCCATTACCTGTTTGTTCCCAGGGTGTGCATTAGCAGGAAGCTAGAATTAGATGCATTGCTGGGACTTAAAATATGTATTCTGATATGGGATGCAGGTGCCTCAAGTGGCGGCTAACATGCTGAGCCTGCCTCAGATGTAGTTTATTATGAATAGCAGCCTCATCCAGCAGTGTAACAATTATGTCTTTGATCTATTGCTTTAACTATTTTAAACTGTAAGATACTAATGAAATACTGTTAATAGTGTTATAATAAATAATATTAACTAAATCTTATATAAAGAAATGTAAGGATGTTTGCACTTTTTTATTAAATATTTTCTTTCTTCCTTAGGTAAGAAAAAAGTAAAATGTTACCAGGTCAATTGAATTAGATAATACATGAAATTCATTTAATTCTTAAAAGCTGGATTCATTCAAGGTTTTTAGATATATAACTGGTATCAAGCCAATAAAAATAATTAAAGGTGAAACCTTGATTAATTGACATTGTACTCTTTATAAATCAAAGTCTTTTTCTCTCAAAGTAGTGAAAAAATGATTGCCATTAATCTCATTAAGATATTTTGTGGAATGAGTTAACTATTAGCATAAAAGTAATTAAAAAGATGGTTAGTATTGACTTCTGAAGCCCATATTTAAAAGATTTGAATTATATTTGTAAGGAAATTAATAATTTTGGAAACTTCTGTTTTTGTGTTGAATATATCTTCATGTTTGGCTTGATTTGTTTGCCAAAGTGAAAGAATTTCTTTTCCTACATTGAAATTGCTTTTCCTTTTCAGATATTGCCTGTTTGATATTATTTTAAAAGCATGTGGTTCTTATGAGTACATTTTTTTTTTTTTTTAAGATTTATTTGTTTAAGGGGCTGGCGCCATCGCTCACTTGGTTAATCCTCTGCCTGCAGCGCTGGCATCCCATATGGGTGCCGGTTTCTAGTCCCGGTTGCTCCTCTTCCAGTCCAGCTCTCTGCTGTGGCCCGGGAGGGCATTGGAGGATGGCCTGAGTGCTTGGGCCCTGCACCTGCATGGGAGACCAGGAGGAAACACCTGGCTTCTAGTTTCTGATAGGCGCGGCGTGCTGGCCATAGCAGCCATTTGTGGGGTGAACCAGTGGAAGGAAGACCTTTATTTCTGTCTCTCTCTCTCAGTGTCTAACTCTATCTGTCAAATAAATAAAAGAATGATTTATTTGTTTGAAAGTTATAGAAAGAGGTAGAGACTGAGAGAGGTCTTCCATCTCTGGTTCACTCCCCAAGCCAGGAGCCAGGAGCTTCTTCCGGGTCTCCCACACCTTGGGCCATTCTCTGCTGCTTTCCAAGGAACATTAGCAGGGAACTGGATCAGAAGTAGAGCAGCCAGGACTGGCACCCATATGGCATGCCAGCACTGTAGGCCTGGGCTTTAACCCACTGTACCACAGCGCCAGTCCCCATGTAAACACATCTTTATTCCTGTGATTAAACTTGCAAATAATAGTCTTATTTCCTTGCAAAATAATAGGAATTTAGTTTAATTTGAAAATTTTTTTTGTAAACAGTTCTAATTTTCTTTGTACTCTTAGGAATAATCATGAGCCGGCACTATGGCTCACTTGGTTAATCCTCTGCCTGTGGCGCTGGCATCCCATATGGGTGCCGGGTTCTAGTCCTGGTTGCTCCTCTTCCAGTCCAGCTCGCTCTCGCTCTCTCTCTCTTTTTTTTTTTTTTTTTTTTTTTTTTTTTGACAGGCAGAGTGGACAGTGAGAGAGAGAGAGAGAGAGAAAAATCTTCCTTTACCATTGGTTCACCCTCCAATGGCTGCTGCAGCCTGCCCACCACGCTGATCCAAAGCCAGGAGCCAGGTGCTTCTCCTGGTCTCCCATGTGGGTGCAGGGCCCTAGCACTTGGGCCATCCTTCACTGCACTCCCGGGCCATAGCAGAGAGCTGGCCTGGAAGAGGGGCAACCGGGACAGAATCCGGCGCCCCGACCGGGACTAGAACCCGGTGTGCTGGCGCCACAGGCTGAGGATTAGCCTGTTGAGCTACGGTGCAGACCTCAGTCCAGCTGTCTGCTGTGGCCCGGAAGGCAGTGGAGGATGGCCCAAGTGCTTGGGCCCCTGCGGATTGGTGCAGCACCAGCTGTAGCGGCCATTTGGGGAGTGAACCAACAGAAGGAAGACCTTTCTCTCTGTCTCTGTCTCTCACTGTCTGTAACTCTACCTGTCAAATAAACATAAAGAAAAAGGAATAATCATTGCCTAATTTAAATGTCCTAGAGGACTGTAAATATTATGCTCACCTGTTAAGACTTATATATGAAGAGCTTACTTTCAAGGAAAACTGCTAACAGAACAGTCCATGTAGAAAGTCTTGTTTTCAATACACTGGTTTCTCTTCAGATCAAATAAATCTTTCACCTTTTACTAAAAATAAAAAAAGAAAGTCTCGTTTTCAGTACTATACCAAAAATTAAATGAAGGTTATACAGCACAGTTCCTTTTTCAGATGGCTCAGTGCAAATACAGTGGGATTGTTCTGACATGGTGTTTCTTATAAAATCACAGTAAGTGTGATTACTGAAGTGTTGAGATTGCTCATAGGGCTTCAGAAACAAAACGAAACTGGTCAGTGAAACTTCGTTGTTTTTTTTTTTTTTTTTGGTGATTATTTAAGTTATACAAGTTTATGTATTTCATGTATACAGATTCAAGAACATAGTGACACTTCCCACCCTAACCTCCCTCCTGCACATGCTCCTACCTTTCTTCCTCCTCCCACTCCTATTCTCACTCTTAATTTTACCAAGATCTACTTTAAATTTATTTAATGATCATAAAGTTAACCCTAAGGGAAAGTAAGAGAGTTCAGCAAATAGTATGAAGATAAGAAAAAACCACTGTTCGTCAACAGAAGAGACAAGGGCTGTATATAACTATCATTGAATCTCGAAATGTCCATTTCACTCCAGCACATTACATTTTAGGTACTCTGTTAGTTTAGCATCTGCAAGTAAGACAGGCTTGTTTGCCTTTTCATGCTGCCTCATCTGTATTTCTGAAAGTCAAATTGTCCTGTAAAATAGTGAAAGAAAATACAGTGACTTGTAATTTACTGGTAGATGACAGTGCAACCTGTTGACACAAGTGCTGTTACCCCGTAGATCTCTTTTAAAAAACTGATTTTAAAACAAGCTTTAGTATGCTTATTTGAATTTGTGTTTGAAGTTTTTTCCAGTCTAAGTGTATGAACTGTCATTTATTTTCTTTAAAGATTTTAATAGTCTAATTTGGTATCTTTGGGAGAATATACAAAATTAATAGAAAATAATTAATGATGTTAAATGTTATAAAACTTTAGAGACAGCTTGAACTGCCCATTCATTTTGCAACAATATTTACCATGCTTTTCCTCTGTGCCTGGCACTGTTCTCAGTGCTAGGAATGAGCAGCATCGGCCAGACCCTTGCCTTGAGGAGTTTACATTCCAATAGATATTTTGCTTTTCTGTTTTATTGGGTGAAAGCTATGTAACTGTATATAAAATACTAGTGATTTAATTGAAAACATTAAGTACTTATTAAGGTAACAGTAAAATATTTATGTGCTTAGATATAAATAAATTCTGAAGTCAATACAAAATATCAAGTCTGCTCTTAAAATAGTCTAGTAATATGTTAGAAAGCTAAACCTGATATGTTTATATACAGAGATAAAAGCTTTGTATATTAAATGCCTTTGATCTATATGGAGAGTACTAAAAAAAGTTGTTGGAAGAATGGAATTTAAAGATGTTTATTTTGGTGAAAAACACTTTTGAAATTATTGTGGGGCCAGCATTGTGGCATAGTAGGTAGAGCTGCTGCCTGCAGTACCCTCATTCCATATGGGCACTGGTTCGAGTCCCAGTTGCTCCATTTCCAATCCAGCTCTCTGCTGTGGCATGGGAAAGCAGCAGAATATGGTCCGAGTCCTTGGGCCCCTGCACCTGCATGGGAGACCTGGCCAGTTGGGGAGTGAAATAGCAGATGGAAGACCCCTCCCTTCCTCCCTCCTTCCCTCTCTTCCTCTCTCTCTCTCTCTCTCTCTCTCTCTCTCTGCCTAACTCTGACTTTCAAATAAATAAATCTTAAAAAAATTATTGCATAGCTTTTTCAAAATATTCATTATCCACGAACTTTTTGAAGATTCCTCTTGTACATAGATTTCAGCGTTTTTGTACCCAAAATAAACTTCTCTTTAATTCTGTTTTTTCAAGAACTTTTTGAAGTACTCTTATATGTAACATTTGACTTTGTAAACATTTAAATACTATTTTTGTTTATACAGATTCTTCTCTGGTAAACTTCTGACTGTTCATATGCCTTTTAAAAATATTTTTACTGGGGCTGGTGTTGTGGTATAGTGGGTTAATCTGCCTCCTGTGACACTGTCATCCCATTTAAGCTCCAGTTTGAGTCCCAGCTGCCATGCTTCAGATCCAGCTCCTTACTGGTGCTCCTGGGAAACCAGTGGAAGATGCCTCAAGTACTTGGTCTCCTGCACCCATGTGGTAGACCCAGATGGAATTCCAGACTCCTGGCTTTAGTCTGGCCTAGTGTAGCCTAGCATGGTTGTTGCAGCCATTTGGGGAGTGAACCTACAGCTGGAGGATCGATTTCTTTCTCCCTCTCTCACTCTTCCTCCTCCCCCTCTTTCCCCCTGTAGCTCTGCCTTTCAAATAAATCTTTTAAAAAAAGATTATTTTGATATGTAGAGAAACTCAGAAGATTGTTTTTACGTTCAAAACTGTGAAAAACTTGAATGTATTTTGTCTTACAGTTTGAAAATCTATCAAGCATTTTGAAGCTTCCTGGTAAAAAAACTTTTAATAATATGGATAGAGATTTTTTAGAAAAGAGAAAAAAGGATCTAAATGCGTATTTGCAGGTAACTCAGTATTTATTACCCATCGATTTTCATTTAATATGCCACATGGATATGGCAGATTTCTTTACTAAAGTATGTTTTTACTACAACAATGAAATAGCAGCTACTTTTAAGCTGTCTACTTTTAAGCATGCCTAGTATGGTATGATCTGTTTATTAATTTATAAACATTATTTCTGTGTTTTTGTTTATTTTGTTTTCTATTCACTAAGGGCTAGGAGTTTTGCTTCATGTCTACATGAACACCCAAAGAAACAGTGTCTGTTCCAGATTACTGTGAAGCCTAGGTATTTTAGAATAGCCTAACTGTTAAATGCTTCCAATTCAGTGAACAGTAGCTTTTCGTGGTGTGTCAGAAGCTAGTGCATTTCTATTGCCAGAGAAGTGTGTGTAGCTACCCTCCATGGCCTGGACTGATTCTAAGTCTTCTAAAATTAGACTAAGTCAAGAGAGGGATAGACATGAGGGACTGTTTGTATTGAGTAACATTCAAGACATCACAAGGGGTCATCAAAAAGTTCACTGAAAATAAGTATCATAAAAAAACTATCCATGGATTTCAAAAATTATCTTTGAGCCAAAATAAACTATTATTAATTCCATTTTAAGCTATTCTTAATTCCATTTTCCATGAACTTTCTGAATCCCCCCTCATAGAGTTCTCTCATGAAGCAAAACATGTCTTAGAAGGTACTTACTGCATAAACTGTTAGGACTCAAAGAGATTACTTTGTGTAATGCTTAGTTACCTAGAAGCCAGATAAAATGTCACTTTATAGTTTTTATACTAATTAAGGCTTTGTGTTTAAATAGCATTTTCTCATGTACTACACAAGGCATCAGCTCAGGTTTACAGTGTTCTTTATCTAGTCCCTCGTGTGAGGGCTCAGCACAGAACACCACAGTCTGTAGACACTGTCTGACCTGCCTGCTGTCACTCTGCTGCTGTTACTGGTGCACAGCCAGCCTTGCCTTTACAACCCCTGTGGATGCTTTTGCAAACAGGGCAGCCTTACTGTCTGGTGCCTTACAGAGAAGTTTTCTGACCTTGACTTAGATTTCAGTGAAACTCAAGTCTGTTGTTACATACTCGATATTTTGTCTGGAAGGCTTAATTTTCTCTCTTCCTCAAATAGACACAGCTGTGATTGGTTTTGTTTATAGAGTGATTCCATGATGTTATTACTGAAAGGATAGCAAATACATACTTCTGCTGTTCCTCACCTATGGCTTCTCCTGGCTTAAAATTAAGCATCCAGTATCATTTGTATCACCTTTGTCAGCACTGGACTTTTTTAAGTGTTACCTTCAGTTCCATTAAAATCCATATCAGTTGTTTATGAAATTTAGAAAATGACTGCTTTCCCCAAGTCTGGTGCCATGAATGTGTCCAGACCTGTCCTGCTCAGGGAGCCAGGTTTGGAGCTGTGACCACAGTGTTACATCTGGGACTTCTTTTAAAACATTTGATAGCTTTCGTTTGCATTATTTTATGTTCTTTTATAAAATTCTTGATTTAATGTTAATGTAGAATTATGATGTGAGTAACAGTAGTTTTCTAATGTGTATCTTCTTAGTGTATATTATTAGGACTTGAAAAGAGAATGAATACATTCAGGCACCTTTTACATCAGATGTCCTGGAGGTCCGAATAGGAGATGGGCTGAATATTCTTACAAATTTTAACACAGAATTATTGATGGCTTTGTAATTTTTTCATAGAAAAACACTGTATATTCTTTTTATAAGATGAAATTGTAAGCAGCAGTTAGTTTCCAGCAGCCTACCAATTTAAGATTTCCTTTTTTTTTTCCCTTATTAGTTACTGTTAACTCCTGAAATGATGAAAGCATCTCCAGCTCTGGCCCACTGCGTGTGTGATTTCCTTGAGAACAAAGCCTATAGTAAAGGGAAAGGGGATTTTGCTCGCAAGGTAGGCTGGCCGTTGCCTTTAATTTCTTTCTGCGTCTGTTGTCATACTCTGTTTTTAATAAAAACAAAAATTAGCCAGCACCGCGGCTCACTTGGCTAAACCTCCACCTGTGGCACCGGCACCCCAGGTTCTAGTCCCGGTTGGGGCGCTGGATTCTGTCCCAGTTGCTCCTCTTCCAGTCTAGCTCTCTGCTGTGGCCCGGGAGGGCAGTGGAGGATGGCCTAGGTCCTTGGGCCCTGTGCCCGCATGGGAGACCAGGAGGAAGCACCTGGCTTCTAGCTTCTGATTGGCGCAGCGTGCTGGCCATAGTGGCCGTTTGTGGGGTGAACCAATGGAAGGAAGACCTTTCTGTCTCTCTCTCTCACTGTCTTAACTCTGCCTGTCAAAAAAATAAACAATAAATAAAAACAAAAATTTAGATTTGTATGTGTGGTTTAAAACTAGAAACTTTGATCAAGTGGTCCTTGTATGCAGTTGATAATAGTATCTAGTATATATGAACTCCTGCCTTGTCAAGCAAAAGTTTGACAAGATGGGGAAAAAAATAAAAACTTGGAAAATACCACATTAAGAAAAGTTTGCCTAGGAGACAAGTTCCAAGCTTTTCATTATCTTGAGAAGAAAATGTTTCTAAATGGGAGGAAGTATTTCTTTTACTTGGAGCATTGTTGGGGAAAGCACTAAATAGGGTGTGTTGTAAAAGCATTTATGCCGTTGGAGTAAAATGTTTATTATTTTAAATCTTTTAAATAATTTAAAAGACCTATCCTTGGAATAAAATGCTAGGTTAAGACAGAACAGTTAAATGCTCATATCCTGTAGTGCTGCTTTGAAATCAGACAGCTTTGCATTCACATTCCTGCTGTGCTGTTTATTGGCTCCAATTGTGATCTTGTTACTTAGTCTCTTGGTACTTTAACTTCCTGAGAAATGAAGAGTTCAGTGCTCATTTTTGAGCATTATATGAATCCAGTGATGTATTCTGTGTGTTATAGTACCTGACACATAATTATACTCTGACTACTTTTGCTCTTAGTAGGAGCAGCAATAGTAGCAGTAGGTGTAGTCGCAAGTGCAACCACAGTAGTTGGGGAAGCTGAGTGAAGTGTACACAGTATGTATTATTTTAGCAGCTTTTCATAAGCCTGAAATTGTTTCAGAATTAGGGAAAAAAAAGACTCCCTAATGATTCCATCTCCCTCCTAAAAGAGACTAACTTTTTTTTAAAAGATAAAATGATAACAAGATACATAGAATTTACGATTGTTAAATTTAATAAATTCACATGATTACACTAGGGATGCCTATACCCCACTTTGGAGTTCTTGATTCAAGTTCTGGCTACTCCATATTTCTGGTACAGATTCCTACAAATGGACCTGGGAAGCAGCACTTGTTGATCTAGGTACTTGGGTCCCTGCCACCCACCTAGGAGACCTGGATGGAGTTCTTGCTCCTTGTTTTGCCTGGCCCAACTCCAAGCTGTTAGGGGATTTAGGAGTGAAAATATAGTGTGTATATATATATATATATATATATATCTCCTTCCCCCCACCAAGTGAGTCTGTCTGTCTATTTTGTTTAAAGATTTTATTTATTTATTTGAGAGGTAGAGTTACAGTCAGAGTGAGAGACAGAGAAAGGTCTTCCTTCCATTGGTTCACTCCCCAAATGGCTGCACAGCCGGAGCTGTGCTGATCAGAAGCCAGGAGCCAGGTGCTTCTTTCTTGTCTCCCATGTGGGTGTAGAGGCCCAAGCAGTTGGGCCATCTTCTACTGCTTTCCCAAGCCACAGTAGAGAGCTGGACTGGAAGAGGAGCAGCCAGGACTAGAACTGGCACCCATATGGGATGCCAGTGCCGCAAGCAGAGGATTAACCTACTGTGCCACGGCGCCAGTCCCCATGTTTGTCTCTATCTTGTGTGTGTGATTTTGTCTCTGTCACTTTGCCTTTCAAGATAGAGTTACATAAAAAGAAGAGAAATATCGTCCATCTGATAGTTCACTCCCCAAATGGTCACAAATAGCCAGGGCCAAGCCAGGCCAAAGCCAGGAGCCTAGAACTCCATCCAGGTCTCTCATGTTGCTGGCAGGGACCCAAATACTTGGCCCATCTTCTGCTGCTTTCCTAGGCACAGTAGCAGAGAGCTGGATCAGAAATGGTATAGCCAGGACACAAACTAGCACCCAGATGGGATGCTGGCATTGCAGGCAGTGAATTAACCCAGTGTCACAATGCTGGCTCCTAAATAAATCTTTTAAAAAATTTAGTTATAGTTTCTATGAACTTTTAAGTTCATTGATAGTTTTTGCTTTCTACTTTACTAAAATGTAATTAGCATATCTGATTTGTAACCTTCCTTTTCTTATGTATTCCAAGTTATCTCAAAAGTTTTTTTTTTTTTTTTTTTTGACAGGCAGAGTTAGTGAGAGAGACAGAGAGAAATGTCTTCCTTTTTCCGTTGGTTAACCACCCAAATGGCCCCTACAGCTGGCACGTTGCGGCCAGCGTGCTGCACCGATCCAAAGCCAGGAGCCAGGTGCTTCCTCCTGGTCTCCCATGCGGGCACAGGGCCCAAGGACCTAGGCCATCCTCCACTGTACTCCCAGGCCACAGCAGAGAGCTGGACTGGAAGAGGAGCAACTGGGACAGAATCCGGTGCCCCAACTGGGACTAGAACCTGGGGTGCCGGCGCCACAGGCGCAGGATTAGCCAAGTGAGCTAATCAGACAGCTTTGCGCCGGCCATCAATAGTTTCTAATTGAGCATAAAAGTTATTTTTAAAAATTACCCCTTGGAGAGCAGGTCTTTAGCCTAGTAGTCAAGAAGCCAAGTGAGACTCCTACACTCCAATACATTGGAATCCCTGGCTTTGAATCTTTGCTCTGATTCTTGAATTTAGCTTTCTGTTAATGACCCTGGGAGCCAGCGCCGCGGCTCAATAGGCTAATCCTCTGCGGTGCTGGCACACCAGGTTCTAGTCCCGGTCGGGGTGCCGGATTCTGTCCCGGTTGCTCCTCTTCCAGTCCAGCTCTCTGCTTTGGCCTGGGAGTGCAGTGGAGGATGGCCCAAGTGCTTGGGTCCTGTGCCCGCATGGGAGACCAGGAGAAGCTCCTGGCTTCGGATCAGCGGGGTGCACTGGCCGCAGTGCGCCAGGGGGTGGACCAACGGAAAAGGAAGACCTTTCTCTCTGTCTCTCTCTTTCACTGTCCACTCTGCCTGTCCGAAGAAAAAAAAAATGACCCTGGAAGCAGCAGTGTTGGCTCAAGTAACTGGTATCCTTCCATTCGTGTGGAAGACGTGGATTGAGTTCCTAGTTGCTAGTTTCCACACCAGCCCAGCCCAGCCTGCTGTGGACGTCTGGAGAGATAAACAGCATTTAGAGACTCTCTCTCTTTCTCTCTCTCTCTCTAGTTCTCTATTTCTCTATTTCTGTCTCTCTCTCGCTACTAAATAACCATTACATACTTATTAGCTAACCCAGCTTTCTGTTTACCTGCAGCTTTCTTTTTCAATATCTACTCAAAAGATCCAATTGTTGCTTTGAATTGTGACAGACAGGTGGCAGGAAGTATGCAGTGGCTAATTCTACTTGCATCATTTTGTTCTGTGAAACTTTTTTCTTTAATAAGAAGGCAGCCAAAGCTTTTATTCCTTTTCTAACAGAAGCCTCATCATGCAAATTTTTATATTACATATATGAGTGTGAAGATAGATTTTTAAGAGGTACTGAAGACAGTAGTTTAAAATGCAGCTACATAATATGCACTGGAAAAATATTGTATCTTTTATATATTGTATTCTGTATTTTCCCAGCCTTCTGAAAATTGAATAATAAATCTAATACAGTGAAGTCACAGTATAATATTTTTTTCCCTGTAGATGGACACTTTTGTAAATCCGCTTCGCAATTCTATGAGGAATGTTTCAAATGCAGTTAAATCTCTTCCTGATAGCCTGGCAGAAGGAATGACTAAAATGTCAGACAACATGGGCAGAATGTCGGAAAGATTAGGTCAAGACATAAAGCAATCATTTTTCAAGGTAAGACGTTTTCAGCAGCGTCTAAGGCAAACTAGTTTTAGGTCAGCTACAATGTATTGTGCTCCTACCTGGGTTTACCTTATTTCCTTTCCAAAGTCCTCTAGACTCATAGTTTCACAAAGTTTGGGTAATTAAAGAGAATGAATGTGTATCTGAAACACATGCTGTAAAATCTAGTTATTCCTGTCTGCTACGATGGAGTTTTAAAATCTTCTTATACAAGAATATAAAATTAGTGAAGTTAGTGTTTTTGTACTGTTTTATTTCATTATACTATTTTACATTCTGTAATGCTATTAAATTCCATAGAAAATAAGTGATATTTGCAAATGTATTGCAATAGTATTCACCTACACATAAAATCCAGTTTCTCCTGCGTCAGTGCCCTGACTGCCAGATCAAAGGGATGAAAAATCTTCACTTGTCAGTCTCTGGGGCCATGCATTACCATGTATATGAGTTTCCCAGGAAGCTTTTTCATTTTATTATCAGATAAAGGTACTAGACCAAGTAGATTATTGCTTCCCTAATTTGCATGTTTTGTAAATTATAATTTTGATGTAGTTACTTAAGGTTGTGAGTGCTCGTAGAACTTTTTTATTTTTTAGGCCATATTTGCATGAAGGGAAAGTGTATATAAACATTTTCCTTAATAGAAGATTCCTAAAACAAGTGTATGTAAATTGTACCTTTCTCTTCACTTCTCTGAAGGAGGTGGAGATCTTTACTTCTAATCATGGAGAAGTAACTAACTTTGAAATGAGGATTGTCCAGCACCGTTTCTGTTGCTGACTACTCATAGGACTTCGTTCAAAAGTCATTGACCTCTTCCAGGCTCTTTGTCCTCACCCTAACATGAAGGGATTAAGATAGGTGATCTGAGTGGTCCTTCTTGTGCTGCCAGTTGATTATTAGCTAACATTGGTCTCTGCCCTTCTTTCCCCATAACACCTAACAGTTGGTTAACTCCTTAAAGCTATTAACATTCCTATCGACTCCTTATGGCAAAAGAAAGAAGAGTGGCTATGCTATTTGATCTTCAAGGCATTTAACCCCTCTTAGCTTTAAATTCTTCTAAAAAGTGGGAGTTTGATTAAGTCATTTCCCTTCCAACTCAGAAGTCAGTCGGATTATTTTTTAAAGGAAAAAAACCCTTGGTAATGAAATAATCATAACTCTTTATGTTTGGTTTCAAATTCTAGATTGTTAAACTTTGCTTATATACTGCACCCAAAATAAATGTTCATTTTGATTTTATTACTATGTTATTTCCTCTCCCCGTTTACTTTAGTGTATTTACTTTTCTTTTTTTAAATGTTAGGTACCTCCTTTAATTCCGAAGGCTGATTCAGATGCTGAACATTGTCGAGTCTCAGCTCAGCTTGATGACAATGTGAGTTAATTTTGTTCTTGAATAGTATTCAGTTTAATTCAAATCATACTTGACAGCTGTGTTTTGAGTTTGTAATGACATATAAACTTGATGAATTCCACACAGACTGAATTTGTTGATGTAATCTTAACTCTGATGAAGAAAATAGGAAATGGCCAGTACTCCACAGAACCCTGTGTGCTCTCGTGTCACAACCCTCTCCTCTAATGAGGATAATCACTATCCGAACTTCCACCCTGCTTTTATTGCAATATATGCAAAGGAAACTACAGATAAAGTGTATACTTTGTATTAAAGCCTGGCCCTTTTGCTCAGCATTATTAGTGTTCTTCCTTGTCTTACATTGTTCCATGTTAATTGTAGTTTATTCTTCCTTGTGGCATTACAGAATTTCATTTGTTTTATTATGAATAGCAGTCCCGTGAACATTCTGTTCTGGTACGTGATTTATGATCTAGAAAATAGTACTCACTTCTGTTGGGTCTACACCTAGGAATGGAGTAGCTGTATAAGTTGAGTTTTAGTAGATACTGCCAAGTGGTTTCCCAAACTCTATACATGTCAAGTACCAACAACTGTACATGACAACTCTGATGTATTACATCATGCTAATGCTCAATATTTTGTGTTCTTTTTCTATAAAGAGAACAGATTTCATATATACACTTTTAAGAACACACTGCTACTTCCCACCTTATCTTCCCTCCCTCCCTCCTCCTTCCTTCCTTTCTTATTTTTCTTGTAAGTTTTACAGTGACATACTTTCAATTTATTTATAATCACAGGCTTAATGGTCCACTAAATAAAGAGTTCAACAAGTATTGGAAAAACCTCGGTTCCTGAAGAGTTTAGACAGGTCTATAAACAATAATCATATTTAAAGATGTCAGTTTTGCTCCTAAGTACATTATTATTGTACTCTGTGTATGCATTACCACAAATAGGGAAAACATGGTATTTGTCTTTTGGGTACTGGCTTTTTAAAAAAAAAAAAAATTTATTTATTTATTTATTTGAAAGGCAGAGTTACAGAGAGGCAGAAGTAGAGAGAGAAAGAGAGAGAGAGAGAGAGAGAGAGGTAGGTAGGTAAGTAGGTCTTCATCTGCTGGTTCACTTATGGCCACAATGGCTGGAGCTGTGCTGATCTGAAGCCAGGAGCTTCCTCCAGGTCTCCCATGCAGGTGCAGGGGCCCAAGGACTTGGGCCATCTTCTACTGCTTTCCCAGGCCATAGCAAAGAGCCGGATTAGAAGTGGAGCAGCCAGGACTCAAACCAGCACCCATATGGGATGCAGGCACTGCAGATGGCAACTGTACTTGGTACGCCACAGTGCCAGCCCCAGAGACTGGCTTATTTCACTAAGCATAATAGTCTCCAGTTGTATCCATTGCTAAAGACAGGATTTCATTTTTTTTTCTGGCCGAGTGGTATTCCTTTGTATTTGTATACCACATTTTCTTTATCCAGTCATCAGTTGATTGAAATCTGGGTTGATTTGCCATTCTGGTGGTTGTATTTCATATGGATTCATGTTTTCCTAATGACTTGAAATATTGAACACCCATTTGGGTGTCCTGTCTTGTATGTCTGTCTAGATCTTCTGATCTTGTCCTCTTTCTTCGTCATTTTGATTTGTTAAAAATGCTTTGTGAGAGGTCTTCACAAAGTTTGAGGAAAATGTGCATCATGAAAAAAAAATTATGCATGGATTTCAAATTTTTTGCATCAAAATCAACTTCTCTTTTTAGAATACTCTCATGTAAACTGAATATGAGTTCTTCGTCAGATAATGTATTTGGAATATCTTCTGTCTGCATTGGTGTTATTTATATGTACTGTCTAAAAATGTCTTTTTTTGGAATTGGCTTGTGTCTTTTTGTGTGTGTGCCTCACTCATATTTTATTTATTAAATACATTGATGCATCACATTAAGTTTACAATACATGTTGTAAAAGTTACAAGATTGATCTCCAAAATATCTAGAAAAACATAGTACTCACAACCCTAGTATTTACCTCTCAATGTGAACATAGTTGAGGTATACAAACTTCATGCATTTCGTAAATACAACTTTAGGAAGGAACATGGTGATAGTGATTTTTCCTACTGTACCCACCCTCCCACCCTGACTCCCACCCTTCTTCCTCCTTCCTCTCCTATTCCCATTCTTATTTTTTACTAAAATCAATTTTAAATTAACTTTATACACAGAAGATAAATTCTGAGTAAAGAGTTCACCAAATAGTATGAAAAAAAGAAACCCAATGTTCATTCAAGAGCATGTTGTTCAGGCTACATATGTTCTAGAGATTCTTGGGTTGTTGATTTCCAGCTTCATTCCATTATGGTCAGAAAAAGCTATATGATGTGAATTCGTTGTTGTTTTGTTTGTTTTTTATTTGCTGAGACTGTTTTATGGCCTGGCCTGTGGTCTATCCTAGAAAAAGTTCCATGCAGTGGTGAGAAGAATGTGTATTCTGCAACTGTAGGATGAAAAGTTCTGTAGATATCTGTTAGGTTTATTTGGTCTATAATGTCAATTAACTGGTGTTTCCTTGCTGATTTTCTGTCTTGTTGATCTGTCCATTGCTGAACCTGGGGTATTGAAGTCCCCTATTATTGGAGTCTGTGTCTCACTTTAGATCCCTTAACATTTCTTTTAAATAGCCAGGTGCCCTGTAATTAGGTGCATATACACTTATAATAATCACATCTTCTTGTTGAATTGACCCCTTCTTTGGCTCTTTTAACAGTTTTGGTGTTAAAGTGTATTTTGTCTGATATTAGGATGGCTATACCAGATCTTTTTTGGTTTCGGTTGGCATGAAATATCTTTGTGCATCCATTCACTTTCAGTCTGCATGTATCTTTGTTGGTGAGCTGTGTTTCTAACAGGCAGCAAATAGATGTTTTTCTGTTTGTTTTTTCCATGTAGGCAGTCTATATCCTTTAACTGGAGATTTAAGGCTATTTACATTCAAGCATTCAAAGTGACTATTGATTAGTAATGACTTGGCCCTGCCATTTTCCCATAAATATTCCTATTGTTTACTTTGATTTTCCTTTGTGTTTTTACTGGGAGATTTTCTGTCTTCACCTTCTCTCATAGTGTTAACTGTGTTTCTGTGTGTGGCATATCCTAAAATATCTTTTGTAAGGCTGGATGAATGGTGACAAATTCTCTCAATTTCTCTTTGTTTCTCTTTGTTCATTTAGTCTTTATTCTACCTTCATTATAAATGAGAGCTTTGCAGGGTACAGTATTCTGGGTTGACTTTTTTTTTCTTTTAAGACTTGGAATATATCTCAGTTCTCTTCTAGCCTGTAGGATTTCTGAAGAGAAATCAGGTCAGCTGTGAGTGTAATTGGAGATCCTCTGAAAGTAATCTGACACTTCTCTGGTGCACATATTAGAATCTTTTCCTTTTATTTTACTGTGAGAAGTTTGAATACAATGTGTTGTGGTGAAGATCTTTTCTGATCATGTGTGTTAGTAGTTCTATGAAATTTTCTGTAATTATTTTACTAAGAAGGCTTTCTAATCCATTCTCTCTTTCCATGCCTTCAGTAACTCCTAAGACCCGTGTGTTGGGTTGTTTCATAGTATCTCATAAGTCTCCAACTCTTTTTTTTTTTTTAAGTTTTCTGATTTCTTTTTCTTTTTTTTTGGTTTGACTATAAAATTTCCAGAGAATTTGTCTTCTAACTCAGATATTCTTTCTTTTGCTTCACTGATTCTGTTGTTAAGGCTTCCCACTGCATTTTTTATTTGTTCTGTTGAATTCTTCATTTCCAATATTTCATTTTGATTTCTTTTTAAAATCTCAATTTCAGGAGAAAAAATTTCTTTCATGTACGGATTTCTTTAGTTCATGGATTTGCTTCTGATTACTTCTATGTAATCCTGCAATCAACTTTTTTGATTCTGTTTATAGCATTTCATCAGTCTCTTCATTTTCTTTCTTTTTTTTTTTTTTTTTTTTTTTTTTTTGACAGAGTGGCTAGTGAGAGAGAGAGAGAGAGACAGAGAGAAAGGTCTTCCTTTGGCTGTTGGTTCACCCTCCAATGGCTGTCGCAGCTGGCGCGCTTCATTTTCACATTCTGGTATTGAAGTGTTGTTGTGTTCCTTTGGGGGCATCATGTTCTCTTTCTTATTCTTGTTTCTTGAATTGCTCTGTTTATTTTCAGGCATTTGTGTAGATACTTGCTGGTTGTTTTTTTTGTTTGTTTGTTTGTTTTTTTCCCTGTGTGATGGCTTTTATCTTTGGACTATGCCTCTGTGGATTAGTGGAATGTCTGCTCTTCCATTGAATACCCTGAGGCGTGTGCTGGGTGTGGCCAGGGAGCTCTGCTCAGTGCTCAGGGTGAGGGGTGTATCTTCCAAATTGGGCGTGGTAAATCTCATTTATTTATTTATTTATTTATTTTTCAATCAGAGGGGAGGTTTCTTCAGCTCTGTTGGAGTAGTCTCATGCTCACCTCTTCTCCCCAAAGGAGACCATTGCCTGAGGCTAGCTCCTGGAAATACAATATTCGTCTTTGCTGCCACAAGAACCACGCTAAGGATCTGTGCAGTTCTTGGTATGAGCATGGATCCCATAGCAATGTACCTCACCAGGGAATCAGGGAGCCCCGAGCATGTGGAGCTGCCCACAGTGACTGCCTAGAGTCCCAGCCACACCCTGTGCCCTTACACGCAGCTGCAGTGTTTTCACAGCCCCAGCACACAAGCTCGCACAGTCATGAGCACCCAGCCCCTGTCGGTTCCCCCAGCCAGACTCTGGCATCTCTTCCCAGCTGCTTGCTGGGCATGTGGACACAAGCTGGCGCTGCTGTTGCGTATGTCCAAAACGGTACCCACCTTCTCTTGGCTACTTACAGGATACCGTTGCCAGGTGGTCGAGGAGAGAGAAACATGCCCCCCGCCCTTTCCTCTAGGTTGGCAGATACAGTGTTCCCCACAGGGCTCCAAGCCAGACTCACGCCAGGCTCTTCCTGCAGCTTTATCACCAGTGGCTTGGGCTGCTGCAGCCTGTTCTTACCTCACTCTGCAGTGCTGGTGCTGAGGATCGTGGCTGCTGGGGTCTTGAGTTGTGCACATCCACACCCTCCATGTAGATCCATATTGTCCCTCTAATTTGTGTAGAGTGTCCTCTGCTATTTTCTCCCTGTCTCTTCTCTGAGCTTACACCATCTCCAGTAAGCTCCCTTCCTGTTCTGCCATCTTAGTGCCTCTTCAAAACATCTTTTTGTTTCACCATGCCAACTTTTAGATTTACGTTCATCTGCAGTTGGATGTTGTATATGGAATGAGGAAGGGTCCAAGCACCATTCACTAAGAAGACCAGGTCTCTCCCATTGTACACTGCGTTGCTCCCTTATTACAAACCAGAATGTCATATTTTTGGCTCTGTAATCTGTCATATGAGGGCAGATTTAGTTTAAAGTAATAATTACCTCCTTTAAGTTTATAATAAACTGTTCTAAACAAATACTTTTATTCGAGTTTTTTATGCTATCCATAACATTATACCTTTTGGTATATGACTTTTATGGTTTAACTTTATTAGAATTGTGTGGCAACAAACTCATGTGACTGAATTTGATTTAAGAACAGAACAATATATTTATTCTGCCTTGGGAATGAAATAGGTCATCATGCCTTTGGTGTCATTAGGCTCTAAACTTTCAATTTGTGGAATGGAAAACATACTAAGAAAATGTTTATAATATGACAATGGAAAATGTATAAGTCCTTTTTTCTTTAATATTTATAATGTTGATCAGGTATTAGAGTATCTTAGTGAGGAAAGAATTATGGAATTACTGGCAGTTACTTGTAGAATTCATGTGGTTTTTGTTTGTTTGTTTATAAGATTTATTTATTTGAGAGGCAGAATTAGAGAGGGAGAGACAGAGAGAAAGGTCTTCCATCTGCTGGTTCACTCCCCAAATGGCCACAATGGCTGGACCTGGGCCGATCTGAAGCCTGGAGCCAGGAGCTTCTTCTGGGTCTCTCACGTAGGTGCAGGGGCACAAACACTTGGGCCATCTTCTGCTTTCCCAGGCCATAGCACAGAGCTGGATTGGAAGAGGAGCAGCCAGGACTAGAACCCTTGCCCATATGGGATGCTGGCGCCACAGGCAGACGATTAACCAACTGTGCCACAGCTCCAGTCCCGAGTTCATGGATTTTGAAATCTGTTCATAATTTTTGTGACCCTGTCGATTACAGATAAACAGAAGCAGCACAGAGACCCCAGTACATATATCTAACAGAGAACTCATGTTGGGGCCGGCGCCATGGCTTACTTGCTTAATCCTCCGCCTGTGGTGCCAGCATCCCATATGAGCGCCAGGTTCTAGTCCCGGTTGCTCCTCTTCTAGTCCAGCTTTCTACTGGGCGCTGGGTTCTAGTCCCAGTTGCTCCTCTTCCAGTCCAGCTTTCTGCTGTGGCCCGGGAAGGCAGTGGAGGATGGCCCAGCTGCTTGGGTCCCTGCACCCGCATGGGAGACAAGGAAGAAGCACCTGGCTCCTGGCTTTTTATCGGCGCAGCTCTGGCTGTTGCAGCCATTTGAGGAGTGAACCAGTGGAAGGAAGACCTTTCTCTCTGTCTCTCTTTCTGTCTATAACTCTACCTGTCAAATAAAAGAAGAACTCATGTTAAGATTATATATGTGTGGGGCTGGTGCTGTGGCGTAGCTGGTAAAGCTGCCGCCTGCAGTGCCTGTATTCCATATGGGTGCCAGTTCGAGTCCCAGCTGCTCCACTTCAGATTCGGCTCTCTGCTATGGCCTGGGAAAGCAGTAGAAGATTGCTCAACTCCTTGGGCCCCTGCACCTGCATGGGAGACCCGGAGGAGACTCCTGACCTCTGGCTTCGGATTGGCACAGTTCCCACCATTGCAGCCAACTGGGGAGTGAACCAACAGATGGAAGACCTCTCTCTCTCTCTCTGCCTCTGCCTCTGCCTCACTGTAACTCTGCCTTTCTAATAAATAAATAAATCTTTAAAGAAAAGTTTATATATGTATGCTTAATCCAGTTATATCCTGTTTCCTACCTTATGCATATTTTCTTATTTCAACCATTCCAGTTGTCTTCCTTTGCCTTTTACCTCATTGAATACTACCATGATCAAAATTGTGCTAATTTTCAGTTGGTAAAAACATAAAGTAAATTTTAGTATTTTTTTGAAATTTACCTTTTGTAATGTTAATCTAATTTTATACTGGATTGAATTTCAGCTTTTTTTCCCTGAAAATACCTAAATACATACAACTTACTAAATAAGAAAAGTACATTATATTGTGTATAAAGTGTACTGTGTTCTTTTTAATAAAAATGGTGATATTTTAAATATTTATTTATTACAAAGACAGAATTACAGTTCTTCAACCCATTGTTTCACTCCCCAAATGGCCATAACAGTCAGGCTTGGGCCAGGCTGAAGCCAGGAGCCAGGAACTCTAACCTGGTCTTCCACGTGGATTTCAGGGGACCAAACACTTGGGCCATCATATGGTACTTTCCAGGCTCATTAGCAGGGAGCTGGGTCAGAAAGGGAGCAGCCGAGACTGAAACTGGTGCTACTACCACAGTTAAAAGTGATGGCTTTACTCTTTACCTCTCAATGCTGCTCCAAGGTTTGATTTTTATGAAAAAGATATGTCAAAAAATGAGCACGTTGTCTAGCATTTGCCTTACCAGATTAGTACGGCCTCTACTGAAAGCCAGATCACCTTTTTCTATGACCATGATGAGTGTACTTTAAGATTTTTTTTTTTTTAAGTACAAGCTTGGAATTTATTCATCATGGCAGATTATAAAATTTGATGTTCCATCAAAATGACTATGAGAAATATTTTTTCTAAATTAGGAGGATGAAATACTAAGTTTTAAAAGCTGTAATGTAACCTGTTGTGTGACTTACTGAAATAGCGCCAAATATTTTATAGGAGTCACCATTCATAAGCAATAGATGACTCACTTGATCTTACTTATCCCCATATTTTGTCAGGTGGATGACAATATTCCACTTAGGGTGATGTTGCTTCTCATGGATGAAGTATTCGACTTGAAGGAGAGAAACCAGTGGTTGCGAAGGAATATCAAAAACCTGCTGCAGCAGCTGATTAGAGCTACATATGGTGATACCATTAACAGGTACCTAACCCCTCTTTCCCATTAGAGTCTGATCTCACTTAGCTTTTAAACTTTTACATCTGGAGGTAGATTGCCAACCTTTATAAAAGATTTTTTTTCTTTTCTGGGTCTTTTAAGATTATTAAAGGGTTCCTTTGCTCTCAGAGATCACTTCCATGTGAATTAAACTGCCTGCTCCGTGAAAGTATGTTTCTTTTATTCATCTTCTAAAAACTTAAGGTTTTCTCATTTAAATTTCTTTACTTTCAGAAAAATAGTTGACCATGTTGACTGGATGACCTCACCTGAACAAGTTGCTGACTCGGTGAAGCGTTTCAGGTATGTCTTAAGACACGGTCACTTCTTTCAGGTAGTGCAGAGCCTAGCCTTGTCATCACTACTTAACTTTTATTGCTTTATTTTTCCTGGCCAAATATTTGGTTTTGGTCATCATTGGTAAGCGAAAAAGAAATGTAAGAATTACATTAAAGATTTATCCCATGAACCTATTAATGCAAAGCCAAAATAAGAAAAGTGTAAAATAAGAGTCTTTAAGATGATAGACCACGTTTTATGTAAGTACTATGGCTTTTAGATAACTGAAAGATTAATATAGAAATACCGTGGTCTTAAAGTCAAACACCTGGTCTTAGGGATTAGTTTTCCTCAGTTGTATTTCCTAACCTTGATTTTAAATGACAAATTTTAGAAAAGCATACATCTCTGATTGTGGTCTAATTTTCTATTACGTATTGGAACCTCTGAAAGGAATGTAAATGAAGCAGCACTGATGCACTAATGCATGTGTTCATCCTATGAAAGTATGCTGAGCGCTGCTTTGTGCCTCACACTCTGTAAGTCCCTGAGGAGTAAGGGGTAAGATGCAGGCAGTCCAGGGAAGCACAGACACAGAAGTAGAGCTCTTTTCTAAAAGTGGAGATCAGCAGCGCAGAAAAATTCATGGCCCTCACCCACTTTGAGAGGGAATTGCCCATAATGAACACTGGGTGCCTGCCAGTGTGCCTAGTACTTAATAGATCTTTTCTGATTTCATCCTGTTTTACAAGGTAGGTGTCTTTGTTTCTCTTCTGTTACAAGGAAATTGAGGCCTAGAGAAAAGACCAAAGACCCTCATGATGGAAAGTGGGGAATCCGGTTTTGCTAACCTGAAGCTAAGTTTCTCCCCTGTATGCCGTTGTTTCTAAAAGCTGGCCTGCCTTGACAAGTTCTGGAGCAGTCATTCTCAGCCTTGGGTGTACTTCGGGAGTGCCCAGAGAGTTTTGAAAAGCACTCATGGCTAGGTCCCCTCTCGGGGGTTTCTGCCTTAGTTAATTGGGTGGATGGGCTGGACATGAAGAGTCGCAGAGCTCCTGGGGTATTTCTCACAAAAGTTAAGAGGGGTTGCTCAAGGGGGTCTCTCTCCCTCAGCACTCTTCCCACAGGGAACCTTAGTTATGCTCAATGCCTGCCGTTGGATCAAGGATTAAGGAACAAGAATCAAGCACACTTGAAGGTCACATGTGTGAAAGGACTGTTGTGATGAATGGAGGCATAAAATGTTGACTCAAAATTTAGTTTCATGTTGATTTAGTTCTAAGAAGAGTAGAGTGGTAAAATGTGGGAGATTAGCTGTTTAAGTAACCAGATTCAAGATTTCATGAGCTTGTGTTTAGATGAGATATATAGTCAGTAGATACCCACTTTTGAATTTAAATATCTGTGATACATTTACGAAATCCATTTTGCTGTCTTGGTTGTAGTTAATCAACTATTCTCAAGCAGAATTTCTGTTAAGTTTCTTATATATATCCTCTTATGCCTAAAATTGAAACCTGTACTTAGTTGATACCTGTTGAATATCTTTGTACCTTTATAAAATTGCAAAAACTTTTCCTCTTTTTTGTACACATTCATATTTTCTGTAGAAATTTGGAATATTATCAACTTGTATCATTAGAAATGAAAATGTTTATAAAATTTATTGAATCTTCTTAAATAGAGATGCATTTTGGCCAAACGGCATCTTAGCAGAGACTGTTCCATGCAGAGATAAAGCTATTCGAATGCGAACAAGAGTGGCAGGAAAAACTAAATTACTTGCAATTATGCCAGGTAAGTAAGCATGTTTGGTAAACATCTCACTAATTTGTAGTTGGAATTTTTGGCATTGATCATTCTTCTTTAGCTATCTTTTGATTATAGTACTTCCTACTTATATATACCAGGCACTGTGCTAAGCATTTCTTATATATTCTTAATTAATCCACACTGTAGACCTGTGAAGCTAGGCCCTGTTAATATCACAGCTTTAAAATGTGAAACAATGGAAGCTCAGAGCAGTTAATCAGTCTCCTGAAAACTTAGGGCTAGTAACATTAGATTTCTATCTCAGCTTTGAGCGGAATTGTTTTTAAAGATTTATTTATTTACTTGAAAGGCAGAATTACATACAGGCAGAGGCAGAAAGAGAGAAAGAGGAAGAGTTCTTCCACCCACTGACTGGTTCACTCCCCAGATGGCCTCAATGGCCAGAGCTATGCTGATTCGAAGCCAGGAGCCAGGAACTTCTTCCAGGTCTCCCACATAGGTACAGGGGCCCAAGGACTTGAGCCATTTTCTACTGCTTTCCCAGGCTATAGCAGAGAGTTGGATGGGAAGTGGAGCAGCCAGGACTCGAACTGGTGCCCATGTGGGATGTTGGTACTGCAGACGGTGGCTTTACCTGCTTCGCCACAGCGCTAGCCCTAGCTTTGAGTGGATTTAAGCACTTCACTCCACTGCCTTGAAACATTTTGAGATTAAAATTGTCAAATAAATAAAATACATGACAGATGAAAAGGCTAGTGAGAGAATATGATGTCTGTTTTTTTTCTGGAAGAACATTTGTTATACTTAAGAGAACAAATTCATAGAATCTTTTTATGTAAAAACAACTAATTAATCTGTTACTATGAGTCTTTAGTAATAATTAAATAATTAAAACATAATCCTAAGAAAGTAATACAAGTGGCATTTTGTTGGCCTAATTGCAGTTTCTTTAGGATTTGGCTGTCTCCCTACCTTGGGTTTTCTTTGTTCCAGTTGTGTTCTGGTGTGGCAGCCTGCAGGCTATAGAAAATGATGTTGTCTGACGCAGAGGTGATGGCAGTGGTTTTGCCCCTTTGTGATATTTTAAATCGCTTAGATCCTTTTTCTCCACATTTCATTTACAGATATATAGAATGGGAAAGATATATTTATGTTATTTAATACCAGGCAGTGCTTATTTCTCCTAATAATTTTTTCTAATTTTTTATTAATCATTTCAAAACTGTATCTTCATCATAAAATTTTCATGATCAGCTTTTTCTTCTGTCAATTAAAATTTTGCCATATGACTATTGATGGCATTTTTGCATAAAATGCAGATTGTAGAAATAGCATTTAAAAAAAAAACAGGAAGCAGTAACTTAGGTTATTACTTAATATACTGTTAAAGTAAGCCAGTTACACAGCTAGAAGAATCTTACTTCGCTTAGCCAGCCGATATTTATTGAACACGTACCATGTGCCAGACAGTGTTGTTTGCACTTATCTTGCCTTCCTGGTGCTTTTATTCCATTGAGGGGACACAAAGATTAAAAAAATACGGTCTGCTGGGTAACAGTAACGTGCTGAGGAGGAAAACAGTGTAGGGAGAGGGAACAGTCAGCGTCAGGTGAGCAACTGAGTTGTGAACAGGGTGTACATTTGTAAACGCTGTACATGGAAATGCCTGCGTCTGGACCCTACGTCTTTCTCCTGCCTTGTGTTGTCTCCCAGAATCCAAGTGTGTAAATGGCTAGATAGATGTATGCATGCAGACCTGTATCAACTTTTTTTTTTTTAAAGATTTATTTATTTGAAAGTCAGAGTTAAACAGAGAGAGAAGGAGAGGCAGAAAGAGAGTCTTCATCTGCTGGCTCACTGCCTAGTTGGCCACAATGGCCAGAGCTGCACTGATCCAAAGCCAGGAGCCAGGAGCTTCTTCCAGGTCTCCCACATGGGTGCAGGGGCCCAAGGACTTGAGCCATCTTCCACTGCTTTCCCAGGCCACAGCAGAGAGCTGGATCTGAAGTGGAGCAGCCAGGTTTCGAACCTGTGCCCACATGGGATGCCGGCGCCTCAGGCCAGAATGTTAACCTGCTGTGCCACAGCGCCAGCCCCCTCCATCAACTTTAAGTGTGAGTTAGAACTGTGTAGCTGAGGTGTGGTGCCTGGATACCTGCCATTCGCCAGTTACTCTGCTGTGTACTTTGCATACTTCAAGAACACAGTTAGGCTTGTGTTTTCTTTTATTTGGGTAATGAGTTCTGTGTGTCTTTCCTCTCTTCCTTCAGATGAACTGAAGCACATTATTGGGGCTGAGACGACACGGAAAGGTATTCTTCGTGTTTTTGAAATGTTTCAGCACAACCAGTTAAATCGGAGAATGGTTTATGTCTTCTTGGAAGGCTTTTTAGAAACCTTATTTCCGCAGTACAAATTCCGTGAACTTTTCAACAAACTGCATTCCCGGTCAAAGCAGATGCAGAAATACAAACAGAAACTTCAGACTCCTCAAGCGCCTTCTTTACAGAGAAGGTGACGCTTCAGTCTGTGAAGCTGGGGTCCGCTTCTCCAGGACTGATGGTCTGGACAGATCTTCTGGGGCTTAACTCATATACGGTCGTGTCTGCACCAGTCTTGTAGTGTCTCAAAATAGATTATTAATACATCCATAATACTGTGGTTCTTCTCATCCTCATCTGGAATGCAGCCACTGCCAAGAGAGGTTTCTGTCTCAGATGATTTGGTGCAAGTTTTGCAACATTGACAGGATACTGCTCCCACCTCAAGCAAGAGGACGTTGCTCTCTTGGCTTCGGACTATTCAGCGTTCTCCAGCAACAACAGAGTGCCAGAGTGTATGAGAGCCAAGGAAAGCACAAAGTAGCGGTTCACAGATAAATTGGCTGATATGTTTAACAGTTAGAGAGTGCAGTGTGTGCTTTGGAGGGATTTGTTCTGCATAAGAATTGTGCAGGTCTGTGTCAGCGTTTTGATATAGGGTAGATTAGCCACATAACCAATCTTTGGAACATCTATTTTGGGTTGAGAAGAGTGACAGAACGCCCTAAAGTATGGAATATCCTTATTCCTGACATAACAGTTCTGTGGCATGAAATCCAAATATAAAATAAAACCAATCAAAACAGGTTTTGATTGGCTTATTCATTAGAGTAAGACTCGTTTTAATTGGTTGTTACGTGCTGTAAGGGCTCGGTTTTGCTCCTATGGTACTCACTTTAAGTTGTCTACTGGCATTCTATGTGCAAAAGGAAGCAAGGCGTGGCTGTCCTTTCAGGTTCAGAATGACTCGTTTTGTCTCTAACAGATTACTGATTATGCAGGAGGGGGGAATTTGTTGGAAGAACTGCCAAATACATTCTGTCCTTCTAAAAATATGGAAATTAAAAGACAACAGTACTCTATTGAAAGTTACGATATGATAATTTAAAATTGTGTGATCTAGACATGCCTTAGGTAACTGCAATTATAGCAAATCAGAGGATTAATGAGCTTATTAGTCATATGTAAACATACAAATTCCTAATTCTATTTCAGTGTACATATAGCAAAATAAATAATGAAGACAGAACTATAATGTTTTTAAAAATATGCTTTTATTTATATTTCGCATAATGTAAGATTCTACTAAATAAAGCTAATAGGCAAAACTCCTTTGTGTATACATTTAAGTCCCTAAAATAATTTTATACCAAGAAAGCAAAGTACCTTTTCCAGTTTTGAAGACTGCATTTCCTGTAGTTTTCTCACTCTCCATTTTGTCCATCTTGGAAGTCTTCATATCCCTTTTATGCAGGATTTCTGCATAATTTTAATGCTTCCATTGACGAGGGGTTTGAATGTGCCAGCTATTTTTGTTTTAAAAATAATTAACACTAAAACCTTAAAATAGTGAAGCTACTTTTCAGACCACTGAGCCAAGATCCTGGTATTAAACGAGCGTCTGGGTGCTTAAGATAAAGGGACAGAGTATTGGTATCCCAGTTATTTGGGAGTTTGAAGATTGGAACAAGATCTTACTGTCTTGTTTTCACTTAGATCTTACTTACAAAATGAAGCCTATTAACAGAATAAAGCCTTCCTTTAAAGTTTATAATAGTCGTATTTATTAATAGTGCTGTTGTGCATACTTGTATGCATATATTCAGCATGTGTTGCATGTCTTCAGAATTATAGAAATGAGATCCCTTTCAGTGCAACTTGTAAGTGAGAAAAGATCCCTCGTGGCTCTGATGGAAGGAAATAATATTTCTTCTCAGTGTGTCTCCCCATCCCACCCTGCCCTGTGCCCCAGCTTAAAGTGGGGATGTGTGAAACATGTCTGTAGGAAGCCACAGCATGGCCATAAGTGCAATGATTTCTGTATGTGTCCCTGCCCAATTCAACTATATTTTTGACATGAATAAGTCTAAAAAGTGTAGAGAAGAATTCCTGTAAGAGCCTAGTGTGTAACAGGTGAGAAAGCATTTCTGTACAGCGTGAGGAACAGTGTCTCTCAACCAGGGAAAGAAAGGTCGTGTAAGATTCCAGATTTCCCCAGCAGAGCCCTACAAGATAACTGCAGTCATACCAAAAACTATTTGAATACGTGGGTTTTTTAAAAATAATTTTTCTTTAAAAGAGTTTATATTTCAGAAGCAGACATGCCAGATGGTAGTCTATCTAAATGGTGGTGCATCTTCTCTATGCACATTTGTGTTCCACATCAGAGAGAGCCGTGGTTATGCTAAAGTTAGAGATACTCTTTGAATGACTCGGTCAAGATGTGTGTAAAATATGTAACCCATACATCAAGTACAGTGTACTATGTTTAATAAAGTTATTACATTTAATGCATTTATTGCATATATGAATATAAACATGAAGAGGCTTTATGTCTTCTGATATTTGATTTTTGAATGTGTTTTTAAGTCAGTGGTGCCTTTAGGCAAGAACCTTCAAAATTAATCATTCTCCGTTTGGGTTTTCTGATCTTCAGGTAACATATGAACTATTTAGAAGCCACCAAGTTTATTCACCCCAAAAATTGATTGTATGATTTAAATATAGCACTTAGATGAGCATTTCCTGTAATTAGGGTGTTCAGAATAGTTGCTGAAAACAGTTGTGCCATTGATCAATGGATGCACTTGGTTAGCCTTAATTTTTTTAAAGAAAACACATTAAAAACTTTCTTGAGTATTTCAGTTCGCTCATTTTATGTTTGTGCTGCTGGTGTTTGGAAAAAAATCAAACAGTTAAGTGCTACCAGAAAGTGTACCAATTTTTTTAAAAAATAAGAACAAGATAAATTTCACAATCTGAAATTTTAATTTTGTGCAATATTTTCATTTAGTGCATGTGTATTTGAGTAATTGTAAAATAAATGAATTTTTAATGTTTTGAGATGTAGTTTTAACTGTCTTCTTAACCCAACAACTGACGTTCCATCGTCGCTGCATCCTTTTATTTAGGGACTTGTTTTAAAAGTCTTTTTGTCGCTCCTTGTAAAATTCTTTGATTAGTAGTAAATTTTGCTTATAGGAGCATGGCTCCTGTATTACAAGGGAAAAATATGAAGAGCACATTTTAGGATTCTAATTGTTAAAAGATCACTTGTGCATATCATTGTACAGTAAGTGTCAACTGTGTGCCTAACTGTTCTACCAGTGCTTTCCTTCTTCAACAAAGAAGAAACAACAATCAGAATGTCAGTTATTTTTATTGAACTAAAAAAGATTAAACTTTTATTTGGTTTGCTTTATGTTCTTGTCCATTAGAAAATACTAATAAAGTATTAACAAACATTTTTGTTGACTTTATTTAGTAATGATCTACTTGTTGCTTTAGAAAATGTTTGCTCAATAGTCTTATTTTAGTAGCTGTGTGTATTTTATTTTTCCATTTCAGAAATTAAGCAATTCAAGTTCCATGATGATAGATGAGCAGCTGAGTGATTATTCACTGAAACTACTTTTTCTCTTTATAGGGCAAGTCATTCACCACCCCGGAATTAAAGAAACTTCATACTGACGTATCACTAGAAAACTTTCATTTTCCCACAGGCTGAAAGAGCTATACGTAGTAATTTATTCATAATTTTAATTTGATCTCATTTTTATTTACTGTTTTGGCTAATACTTTGCACATTTTGATTGAGTATTCAAGAATGTAGTTATCCCTGGTTATTCACAGTATTCGGATCCCTCTCAGAGCTGTCACTGCCGACTTCTCAGTTGTCAGGTGTGAGTAACTGCTGCCACACCGGGGAGTGACATTGCATTGATTTAAATGAGACTATAAAATATTAGTCCCCTTAACATAGTCCTGTGTGAAGAGTTTTACCTCTTTATGTAATTTAGAGCTACCTACATGCTGTGAGAAGCCCCTAAATGTTCCTTCAGGATTCAAGTAATGACTTCAAAACCTCTGAGAAGTTCAACAAGAAATCTGTTTCTTTGCTTACCTAATTTCCAAAACTTCATTAACCACAGACTCCTCTTTCATAAACAGAATGAAGACCGCGTTCCCAGGGAATGCGGTTTAATCGTAGAGGAGAGAGAAATGATGAGGCACCTCTAGTTAGGGACTACAGACTGGGCCAAAAAAGTAGTGGATTTGGGACATGATTTTTTTAGCCTACCATCCCAATGGTTGGTAGTTGGTCTTCAGAAGAACAATGAGAATATGGAAAGTTAACAGCTGATTATATATCACATGTTAAAGAGTTGAACTTAGCTCTGAATATCTGAATAATGAATTCAGTGAGGGATAATAGTGTCTTTTTTTGTTTGTTTTTGACAGGCAGAGTGGACAGTGAGAGAGAGAGACAGAGAAAGGTCTTCCTTTTGCCGTTGGTTCACCCTCCAATGGCCTCCACGGCCGGCGCGCTGCGGCCAGCGCACCGCGCTGATCCGATGGCAGGAGCCAGGTGCTTCTCCTGGTCTCCCATGGGGTGCAGGGCCCACGCACTTGGGCCATCCTCCACTGCACTCCCGGGCCATAGCAGAGAGCTGGCCTGGAAGAGGGGCAACCGGGATAGAATCCAGCGCCCTGACCGGGACTAGAACCCGGTGTGCTGGCGCCGCAAGGCGGAGGATTAGCCTATTGAGCCACGGCGCTGGCAAGTGTCTTTCTTTCTTTCTTTTTTTTTATTCATCTGAAAAGCAGAGCAATAAACAGGGAGGGGGAACCAGGAGTGAGAGATCTTCCACCTGCTGGTGTACTACCCAAATGGGTGCAATGGCCAGTGCTGATCCAGGCTAAAGCCAGGATCCGGAAACTCCATGTTTCCCACGTGGATGATAGGGGCCCGAGTAATTGGTCCATCTGCTGCTGCTGTCCCGGCTGAATTAGCAGGAAGCTGGATCAGAAGCAGAGCTACCAGGATTTGAACCAGCATCCAGATAATTGGATGCTGGCATCAACAAACAGTGAGTTAACCTGCTGCACCACAGTGCTGGCCCCTAGAGTGTATTTCTTGAGCATTGGGAAAAACTTGCCAAGGACTTTGCTGATGGGATCAAAAATGGAAGAGGAAGAAATGTCATACAGTTCAGATTCTAAATTGTGTCAAACCTTGACCTCTGTATGCAACAGCAGATCATATGTTTGATTTGGGGGAACATGCAGCAGCTAAAAATGAAAATTATACATAGTTGATTCATTTGTTTATCAGTGCAGGGTGTGACAAATGTTTTAAATGTACTGTTTTAAGTTACTAAACATAACCACTTAGGTTGAGTGAAACTGTGTAGAACTATATATTCGAAGCCCCCAAGAACTCCCTGATGGAGTTCACTAGGAGGGCTTGCAGAACTCAGCATATTGTCACATAGCTAAGATGACAGCAAAAGGGTATAGAACAAGATCAAAGGGAAAGGTGCGTGAGACAAAGTCTGGGGGAAAACAGGCTCAGGCTTCCAGCTGCTGTCTCCCAGTGGCATCAGACAAGTCGCACTTGATCCCCTCAGCATGGAGTTGGGACAGCCTGCGCAACGTGTTGCCAACCAGGGCAGCTCATTTAAGACTTGGTGCCTGTGGTTTGTAGCAGGGCCAGATCACGTGGGCAGCCTTGGCCTGGCCCGCACTGAGAGTCTAAGGGAAAGCATGTGTTTGTCATAAACCTGATTTTTGTTTGGTACAGTTTGGGTTTACTGGGCTATTTTTAGCAGTTTGGAGAAAGGGGGGAGGGGACTCCTAAAATCTAAGTTCTTAGACATCTGAGAAATGGGCTACACTTGCAAGGCGCCTTCCCAAGAACAGCGGTCAAACCTGCTGTGTTAAAAATTGGGCATGACTGCATACCTCAATCCAAAGAAATGGTTCAGGGAAAGTGATGAGTCAGGTTGACGGTTAGTAGGACTTGTGCTTGCATTGAAGCTGTCACATAAAAGGGGAACTATGACAGAGAATTCAGATGTAGCTAAGAAGAGAAAGTTCGAGTGATATTGTTAGGAGCATACATTGTAATCCAAGAAACTGAGGGAATCTGTATTTCCAATGAAGGTTACCATAGCAAAGTCATAGCACTTAATAGTCACAACCTTGTGAGGTGCAGGTACTATCCCAACAACTTACAAGTGGGAAAGTTCAAGCATAGGGTGGTAGTGTTTCCAGAGTTTACGGCTGTTAAATGGTCAACCTGGAAACTCAACCCAGGTGCTCTGGCTTGTTAGTCTTTGCTGTGGTTTCTTAATAGTGACATGATTGACATTTGGGGCTGCATAGTTGGTTGTTGTGGGAGCTTTTCTGGGCACTGTAGGATATTTAATAGCCTAAGCTTGCCCTGTTATGTCAGAGTGGGGGCAAAACTGCCGCTGGTCTAACCTCTCAGCCCTGACAAGGTAAAGTAGGGACTAAAGGCTGACACGTGTGTGATTTGACTCACAAGGAGATTGTAAATGGCAGCCCTAACTCTGCCTTGAGGGGACACCTTGGTAGGGCTCAGCAGAACCAAAGGTTGTACCTGTCTTTAAGTTTCCCATACTTAGATATGGAAGGTGCTTTGCAAACCTGAGTTGAACCAAAAAGGCAGTGGTTTTCAACGTGTTTGAAGATGTCAGATGAATGATATTTAAAAAACTGCTATTTTGCTCACTGGCCAAGCTAACTCTTTAAAAAAAAAAGATTTTTATTTATTTGAAAGAGAAGCAGAGCCAGAGAGAGATCTTCCATCCGCTGGTTCCCTCCCCAAATGACCGCAAAGCCAGAGCTGAGCTGATCTGGAGCCAGGAGCCTCTTCTGGGTCTTCCATGTGGATGCAGGGGTCCAAGGACTTGGGCCATCTTCCACTGCTTTCCCAGGCCATAGCAGAGAGCTGGATCAGAAGTGGAGCAGCCAGATCTCGAACCGTCGACCATATGGGATACCGGCACTTCAGGCCAGGGCATTAACCTGCTGCGCTGCAGCGCTGCCCACCCCCCCAGGCTAACTATTAACAGTAATGCTGGTACTACTACTGTTTAACACAGATAATTGTGAAAGTTTTTTATTTTTCAAGTAACTTTTTTTTTTTTTTTTTAAGTAAAACCAGTCCTTCAAAAGCCTGACAGTTTGGTTGCAGTCTTCTCTGTAAGTAAGTTCCCTTCCTAAATGCTCATCTCCGAGTTTTCATCTGACAGGTGGCTGTTTTCCAGGATACCCAGCTGAACCAGGTTGGCCTGGGGCACGTGCCTGTCTCCACAACTGATCCTCATTCAGCTGACTCTGCTTCCTGTGCTCTCCTCCCTGCTGCTTTTTCCGGGACTTGGCCAAGTCTGGTCCTAGTTTTGCTGAGGGCAGGGGCTGCTTTGTTTCCCAAATGGCCGAGGCCGTGTTAGGAAGCTGATTTTTGTGGTCTGACCTGACTCTCTGTCCAGCGACCATTTATCTGCTCGTTTATCTTTCCGTCCGCATATCTATTGGCATTTCAGTTAGCCACTGTCTTATCCGTAGGATTAAGAAGCTGTTCATATCGCAACCTGTGCCACATGTTCTCTCCCTGTGGCACCATCCTCCGTGTTGGTCTTCTTTATGCAGTACTGTGAGCCTGAAACCATCAGCCAGGAAAAATGCTTCCATGCTTGCTGGGAAGAAAGCAGCTAGGTGCAGCACTTTTGTGTCTGTCCTCCCTCCTACAACAAATTGGTGAGTTTTATTCTTATTTATATGTATTTTTTAAATCTGAGAGACGAGAGACCTCTTACCTGCTGCTTCACTCCCCCAAATGCCTGGAACAAAGAAGCGGGCAAGGGAAGCCAGCAGCCCAGAACCCAATCCCGGTTTCTCCATGTGAGTGGCAGGAACCCAGTTACTTGAGCCATCACTGCTGCTTCCTAGCACTGTATTAGGGAGCTAGTAGCAGGGGCTGGAGCCAGGGATCAAACCCAGGTATTGGATGTGGGGTGTGGGCATCCTAACCAGAGGCTTAACCAGTGCACCAAATACCTGCTACTGTTCCTGGTGTGTTTTTGTTTTCGTTTAGTTTTTTTTTTTTGTTTGTTTGTTTTTTTTAATTTGAAAGAAGGAGAGGCTGGCGCCGTGGCTCAATAGGCAAATCCTCCGCCTTGCGGCGCCAGCACACCGGGTTCTAGTCCCGGTCGGGGCGCTGGATTCTGTCCTGGTTGCCCCTCCTCCAGGCCAGCTCTCTGCTGTGGCCCGGGAGGGCAGTGGAGGATGGCCCAAGTGCTTGGGCCCTACCCCATGGGAGACCAGGAGAAGCACCTGGCTCCTGCCATCGGATCAGTGCGGTGCACCAGCCGCAGTGTGCCGGCCGCGGCGGCCATTGGAGGGTGAACCAACGGCAAAGGAAGACCTTTCTCTCCGT